ATGTAGTGCAAGACTTTGTTTTATTCTGGTATAAAAATATATCGAAATCTTATAAATAAAAAAGGGAAAGATCCCAGATACAGATTTTTGTTACGAGCATCTCCAAAGATTCAGTTACGCTCATCAATTAGAAATTATATATATATATATCAGTCACCAGCATCCCAGCATATTCACATATCAAAAAGTTTTCGGTCGAAATATTGCAGGGATAATCATACAGTATTTTTATATTACGTAATTGTGCTAAAATTAAGATCACAACTCCCTCATAATAAGTTTACTTAGACAGGCTTTCTTTCCTCTTCCGTTAGGCCTTTCAGGTTTTTACACACTAGTACATTTTATAAGTTTAAGGACTGGTCGTTTGTAACATGAACAAGAGGCTCTCAAGAGCCTGAATCGCTCACCTGTATTTCAGAGGAGAAGATTTTTAAATGTTAGCAAACTTGATGAACAAATTGTGTAAAATTGTCTTTTAAAGGGCAATAACTCCTTAAGGGGTCAATTGACAATTTTGGTCATATTAACTTTTTTGTAGATCTTACTTTGCTGAACATTATTGCTGCTTACAGTTTATATATATCTATAATAATATTCAAAATAATAACTATACACAGTCTTCAAAAAAGGAGCTAAATCTAAACCTGAAAATTATAGGCCCTGTTCTTGGCCCATGTCTTTTCCTAATTTATATAAATGACATGCCAGACAACCTCAAAAGTCATGTGCGCCTCTTTGCAGATGACACCATTGTGTATTTAACAATATCATCACTTACTGACTTTCACACCCTTCAATCAGACTTACATAAATTAGAACAATGGGAGCAAGAATGGCTAATGTCTTTTAACCCAGACAAATGTGAAATCATCCACATAACAAGAAAGCGTAAACCCATCATCTTTGAATACACATTACATGATCATATATTAAAATCAACAGACAAAGCAAAATATCTCGGCGTTACGATCACAAACGATCTGACATGGAACTCACATATAAATAACATCACAAATAAAGCAAATGCATCACTCAGATTTATAAAAAGAAATGTAAAAACCAACAGCATAAAAACAAAAGAACTTGCTTACAAAACATATGTCAGACCAAAAATAGAATATTGTAGTGTTGTCTGGGACCCCTGGCAGAAACAACAAATACAAAAAATTGAAATGATCCACAGAAGAGCTGCCAGGTATACACTAAATGAATACAGCTACCAAAGCAGTGTAACAGCCATGCTTGAACACCTAAGCTGGCCTACATTACAACAAAGAAGAAATCTCGCATCGGTCACCATGCTTTACAAAATCCAACACCAATTAGTATCCATCTCAAATATACAATATTTAGTACCATCAAAAGAACATAAATTTGTACAGCAATTCTCTCCCATAAATTACCATTTATATTCATTTTTCCTAGAACAATAAGGTTGTGAAATTCATTACCATACAAGGTAGCCTGTAGCCCAGACTTAGAATAAAATTGAGAATGGAAATGGGGAATATGTCAAAGAGACAACATTCCGACCAAAGAGAAGCATTTAAGTCTGGTGCAAAACAACATATATAATTATTGCTAGATCAAAATCATGTTTTTATCTATATACAAAATTAAAAAAAAAATTTTTGAAATTGTTGTAAAATATGTTCAGATTTTAAATGTTTCCCTAGTATGTGCCTTTTTGTAATCTTCCAACATATTGAAGTTAAGAAGTATTATGTAGATGTAGTGCAAGACTTTGTTTTATTCTGGTATAAAAATATATCGAAATCTTATAAATAAAAAAGGGAAAGATCCCAGATACAGATTTTTGTTACGAGCATCTCCAAAGATTCAGTTACGCTCATCAATTAGAAATTATATATATATATATCAGTCACCAGCATCCCAGCATATTCACATATCAAAAAGTTTTCGGTCGAAATATTGCAGGGATAATCATACAGTATTTTTATATTACGTAATTGTGCTAAAATTAAGATCACAACTCCCTCATAATAAGTTTACTTAGACAGGCTTTCTTTCCTCTTCCGTTAGGCCTTTCAGGTTTTTACACACTAGTACATTTTATAAGTTTAAGGACTGGTCGTTTGTAACATGAACAAGAGGCTCTCAAGAGCCTGAATCGCTCACCTGTATTTCAGAGGAGAAGATTTTTAAATGTTAGCAAACTTGATGAACAAATTGTGTAAAATTGTCTTTAAAAGGCAATAACTCCTTAAGGGGTCAATTGACAATTTTGGTCATATTAACTTTTTTGTAGATCTTACTTTGCTGAACATTATTGCTGCTTACAGTTTATATATATCTATAATAATATTCAAAATAATAACTAAAAACTGCAAAATTTTGTTAAAACTACCAATTCGGTGGCAGCAACCCAACAATGGGTTGTTCGATTCGTCTGATAATTTCAGGGCCGATAGATCTTGACCAATTAAACAATTTTACCCCATGTCAAATTTGCTCTAAAAGATTTAGTCTTTGAGATATAAGCCAAAAACTGCATTTGACCCTTATGTTCTATGTTTAGCCATGGTGGCCATGTTTGTCGATGGATACAAACTTTGGATACAATTTATAAACAAGATACCCTAAGGAATATTTAGTTAAAGTTTGAAGGTAATTGGCCCAGTAGTTTCAGAGGAGAAGATTTTTAAATGGTAGCAAACTTGATGAACAAATTGTGTAAAATTGTCTTTAAAGGGCAATAACTCCTTAAGGGGTCAATTGACTATTATGGTCATATTAACTTTTTTGTAGATCTTACTTTGCTGAACATTATTGCTGCTTACAGTTTATAAATATCTATAATAATATTCAAAATAATAACTAAAAACTGCAAAATTTTGTTAAAACTACCAATTCGGTGGCAGCAACCCAACAATGGGTTGTTCAATTCGTCTGAAAATTTCAGAGCTGATAGATCTTGACCAATTGAACAATTTTACCCAATGTCAGATTTGCTCTAAAAGCTTTAGTTTTTGAGATACAAGCCAAAAACTGCATTTGACCCCTATGTTCTATTTTTAGCCATAAACTAGATACCCTAAGGAACATTTAGTTAAATTTTGAAGGTATTTGGCCTAGTAGTTTCAGAGGAGAAGATTTTTAAAATAGTTTACGACGACAGACGACAGACTACGACAGACGCCAAGTGATGTCATAAGCTCACATGGGGCCCTTCGGGCCCCGGTGAGCTAAAAAGGGGTTGGGAGGAAATTAAGGGGGGCCTTGAAAATTTTTGGGAATGGAAACCTTTTTTTCAAATTTTCAATGCTTCAGATGGGGGGAGGCATTGAAAAATATGTACAAGATTTGGGAAGTTTTGTATTTCAAACATGCAAATTTATAGCTAATTTAATGAATAAGTTTTGGCTTCAAACTTCATTTCAATGTTTTATTCGTGTGAGTCATGACCATCTTTTGTTTTGTTTGTTGGACATGAAGAATGACAATTATAGGAAATAATAGTTTTGAGGTTTTTTGCATATAATAAATACACTGATGATAATAATAATTATATCCTTACATGAATCGTAAAACTCGTGATTGAGCATATATTTCAATGGTTAAAGATGATATCTAGGAGTCAAGTGTTGAATTTTTGATATGTCTATATATGAATAATTTTCCATTTAATATGACCTTTAGATGTTGAGTCAGATGCCCCACACCCAATGCTTCCTCTTACAGGAAATTTTTTTTAAGGCACGAAAGACATCGATTTTTGTTTTGCCTCGTTCTGCTCCGCTAAATTGTTTAGATAAAAATCCTAAGTTTCAACATGTTCTTCCAGTAACTTATCAATTAGACAACACAATTCAAGTGGACAATATTGATTCAATGCTATGAATATTTGGTGATATTGCTATAAGTACAAATCTGGAAATTGAGCGAAGGTGTAATAAATGTCAATGAAACCATAACAGGCGTATCTATTAAAACAAACATTCTATATGTGCCTGTCCCAAGTCAGGAGCCTGTAATTGAGTGATTGTCATTTATTGCTGTTTCTCATATTTGTGTATTTTGTTTATTGTTTTGAATAGTTTGTTCTTGTGTTGTGCCGTTGCACCATAGTCCCAGGTCAAGAGATGGTTGGCGCCTTCAACCATGTTTAACTCCACCACTTTCTTTATGTGCCTGTCCCAAGTTAGAAGCTTGTATTTCAGTGGTTGTTGTTGGTTCATGTCTGTCATATTCGTTTTTCGTTATTTGTTTTGTTATAGAATATGCTGTTAGTTTTCTCAATTGAATAGTTTCACATTTTTCATGTCGACCATTTATAGAAGACTTTATGGTATGGGTTTTTCTCATTGTTTAGGCCGTATGGTTGACTATAATTGCTTACATCCACTTCATTTGAACTTTGGTGGATAGTTTTCTCATTGACAATCATACCACATCTCCTTATTTTTACATATCTAAATAAAGTTCCCTGAAGTCACAAACAACTTCCCAACTTGAAGCTATGTTTCCACTACTGATACTGTAAATTCAGAAATTATTGCGAGGTTTTTATTAATGCGAATAATGCGATTGCATGAGTATCGCAATAATAAGACCTCGCATTCTGATATCTAATACATATACATGTATTTCTATTCACTTTTTCCTGAAATCACAATAATTAATCTCGTATTTTTTCCAATTTTTAAAAAATCGCAATAATAAACGCATGCAATAATTTCTGAATTTACAGTACACTATTTTATTGAAAAATAATAAAAATATGCTGGAAAGGGGGGGGGGAGTTGAAATGTTCATGTCTTTGTGGTCTTGGATTTATTTTCCTTCATCAAGAAAGGGACTTGTAAAAATATAAGAGAAATTCAGATGTTTCCTCCCTTTGATTCGAGCGTCACTGATAAGTCTTTTGTAAATGAAACTTGTGTCTGGCAGCGTACAAAGTTTTAAATGTGCTATCTATGATGAGTTTAAACTCTTTTGACATTGAAATCCACGGTTTAACAAAATAAATTAAAAAATTTTCAGCAAAAAATAATATTTTATTTACATTGACAAATATCACAAAAAGAAAACTGCATTGATTGTTGCATTGAAAATAGCAAAACCAAGAATGTTACTAAAGTTATAATGAAATATTATTATTATTATATAATGTACTGTTGTTTTTTAAATGCAACAAAAGTTAATACAAAAATTACAATCTGGTATTTTTTTTACCAGGAAAAGCACAACAGTGATTAAGTGACATACTGTTGACCAACTTATAAATGGGAGTGATTTCATTTTAAGACTTCAGCAAGTAAAAAAAAAACCCAAATACAATGATGTCAAACTTGAAACATATGAGTATTAATCCAAGAACAAAAGAAATAGTGCAACTAAGTCAGCAAGAAATCTACTAGAAAGAGGTAAGCAAGAAAATAAGTTGGTTAACAGTATTTTATCTAAATGTTTAAACTAGATAGCATATTGTATTCTGGTTACACAGTTTAACAGTTTTCAAATGTTCAATGTTTTTTATCCCCACTCGTCAGACCCATAGTTCACAACATGTTTATCTTAAAAATTTGCAATTTCTTCATTTCTATTACATATTTGTGACAGGTAATCCATGTTCAAAACTACTATATACTAGAATTTACAGTCGTCACATAATGGGATAATTTGCTTGTGGATTAACTGTGGCGAGAGAAAAAAATCAAACATCATTGCAAGTGAAAAATCAAGAACAGTATTTTGTGATTTATCTGAAACTAATTATTACTGAACTTTTAACTGAAATTAATCAATATTTAAAAAGAGCCATAAGTACAACCATTTTGCCTGTTTTACACTCAAAAATATTTAATTCAACACCCTAAGGTTGATTGTGAGTGAGTATTGCGCCTTTGATTTCCAAAGATAGTTTTGAAATATTATAGACAGACGACAGTCACAATCACAACAACTATGTTGACAATGGAGGGAGACTTAAAGACAACAGACTATTAACAGTACAACTACTAGTGTATAACAGAACAAATATCAGAAAAAGGTATTGCAAATACAACATGGCAAGACTTGCAGATCTATGAAAGCATTGAAATGCAAGAAAAAACTAAATAATTATAACACAATCCAAATTATGCTAAAATATGTTAAAATGCCATCAGCTGCTTAACTTAACTCATAGCATCCTCTAGTCTTAATTGCATCACTTTTAAATCCTTATAAATAGTATAACAATTTCTGTACAAATTATATGACATTCAAAAATGTAGCACATAAAGACAAACAAACACAGGTGTTACTATTTCTGTGTTTGTGTCCATCAGTGTACCCTTCTTAGTTTTTACCTGTATTTTCACAGGTAACCAAATTAATAGTTTCTTGAATCCTCTGATAATGTAAATATAACTAATAAAAGTACTAACCATTATTTTTTGCATGGTAATTAAATATATGTAAAACATAAAACAGAATTTGCAGTCTACATGGTCTAGGCAGCAATTCCTTATACAATTTGTAAGTTACATTTTTAACTTACAAGGTACATTTATCCTTTAAGTACAATGTATCTTAACATTAGTGACCTATTTAGTCCAATATTCAATTTACTTTATTCAAAGGCATAATTAATAAAAGTAAATATAATTTCTATATATAACAAGAGGCAGAATATACCAACAGGACAATCAATAATTATAAGTCAAAGCAAAACATACACCATGAGCTAGCAATAAAAACTGCCTTGATATAGCTAAATGTGCCAAATATAGTGTGAAGCACCATCCATCATTCAATCAATGGATCTATTTATATAAGTTTATCTTATATTGAATGACAGTTTCTGCTCTAGTCATTTCTAAACTGATATAAACATATATTGAATATTTATTATTATAATACATTCTGGAAGTTAAGGATGTTCGCTCTTGTTTTTGAATTTTTGCCAGATATTTGGAATCCTCTGGTTTTATCCATGTAGTGCCATTACAAATGTTGCTTGCAAACCCATACTTTTCTTTTCATAATTTTATTACATATAGTTTAAAGGCCATATATTATGAAAATCTTATAAAATCCTTGTTATTTTTTTTATAGTTTATGAAAGAAAAAAGGTGCCAATGTTAAATGTATGAAAAATCTAGAGAGAATCAATTCCCATCAAATTTTCAATGGCTTATATCTCGAAAACAAACACACGAACCCTTTTTTCTGCTTGTTTAGTTCCTTTATTCTTATACTTTCAATTTATAAGAGTCTTTTAAAAAGCTTGTTATTTTGAAACAGAGTAGCAAACATCCTTAACTAATAAATTATACTGGGTGTCATTAATCTGTAAAAATAACCAAATTTAAAACAAGTGTGGAAACAGTAGACTGTCTCACCTAATGCATTATTTGATTTAAACTAAATGTAAATGAGCTCTGAGACTGAGATTAATTTTATATGAAACCTGTCAGATACAATAGCATCAAACACAAGGTATATCCATAAACAACTTCAATCAATACAGTAGAAACAAATGTATAAGATATAAAAGTCATTGAAACCTTAAGGCTGCCCTAAAAAGTAATACCAAAGTCTTAATTCTGAAATATTAGTATTAAGTTTGACATCGCAACAAATAATTATACTGACTCAAATTGACTAGCCGAATAATAACATATGGACATAAAAAAATAACAGCAAAGCTGTAAAACAGATCAAATAACTTTCACACATCAGATCACAACAGCAAATCTGGTCTAACAACCTATAATATATCTTTCAATGGCTACAGGTTAAAAGTCAGTCAATATGCTCTTCATTAACACAAGGGTAACAAAAAAATTGTTGACATAAAATAATCAAATATTAAACATTGTAAAATAGGTTGTTTCCCACAATTGTGTGTGGTATTAAAACCTTTTAATCACGTTTGTAATCAGATGTTTTCTCCAAACATTGTTTTGGTGGTGTATCTGGATACTGTTGAGACAGGGGTGTCAGACTTAGTAACATGATGTGTCTCTCATAGGCTTTACTGGACCTGAAGTTGTTGTCTGTTCCATGGAGACGATCCAGTACACCAAGAACTCCAAAACAGTTGGTAAACCTATAAAACAATCAAATCATCAGATACAGTATGCAATATATGTGTGTGTACTTTTGTGTATTAAGGTTCAAGCAAAAAAAAAAAGCAAAGTATGTCAGTTTAATGACATTTGTTTTGTGATTTGCTAGGGAGATTGAAAATCATTGAAATATTGAAAATGTCATGTTTATCTGAATCTACCTAGTTCTAGTTTTACATAATTTTAATTGGTTTTGTACCATTTGCATTAGTGAAATTGGGAAACCGATTTTAGTTTTCAGTGTTTTAGTAATTTCTATTGGGACAAGTATGCTTTCCTTAAAAAGAATTACTTAGCAAGCCTTAAGCCGCTGAGCTAGGGAAGTATTTCTTTAGCTCAGACTGTTAAGAGTACTGACTTCAAACACAGAGGTTCTGGGTTTGAGTCCTGGAGGTAACATTGTCATTTTCTAGTTAAAATCAAGCTCTTCCATTACAGAATCATAAATTTTGACAATGGAAGTCAGCAGTTATATTAATTTAAGACTGCATGAAATATTTATGGTAACTGTAGGAGCTAACTACCAAAAAGATAAGTAAATAAATGGAGAATGTATATATGGGCCACAGATGCCCCACTTGAAGAATATGCATGAGCCAACTTCCACATACAGATGCAGGATTTACATAGTTAACACTGTTTTGTGATTATAAGCATTGTGTATAAGTTTTATAACATTTGGTTGAGGCAAACTAAAGTTAGAGAACGTAAATGACAGATTTAGCAATTTTCCATTTATAAAGGGGCATAACGACACCACCCAATTTCAAACTTGATCTGTGCATTGTGTATAATTTTCATAACATTTGGTTGAGGCAAACTCCGTGTTGAAGGCAGTACTTTGACCTATTAATATAACGGCTGACTTCCATGGTCAAAATTTATGATTATATAACGGAAGAGCATGATTTTCACTAGTAAATGACATAAGTGTTTCTTGTTTTTTATATAGATACGACCGTTGGTGTTCCTGTTTGAATTGTTTTACACTAGTCATTTTGGGGCCCTTTATAGCTTGCTGTTCGGTGTGAGCCAAGGCTCTATGTTGAAGGCCGTACCTTGACCTATAATTGTTAACTTTTTACACATTGTGACTTTGATGGAGAGTTGTCTCATTGGCAATCATACCACATCTTCTTATTTCTATATAAAGTAGAGAACAGACATGCCAGATTTAGCAATTTTTCCATTTATAAAGGGGCATAACTCATAATTTTAATTGATTTTGTGCCATTTCCATTAGTCAAATTGGGAAACTGATTTTAGTTTTCAGTGTTATAGTAAATTCTATTGGGACAGGTATGCTTTCCTTAAAAAGTATTACTTAGCAAGCCTTAAGCTGCTGAGCTAGGGAAGTACTTCTTAACTCAGTCTGTTAAGAGTACTGACTTCAAACACAGAGGTCCTGGGTTTGAGTCCTGGAGGTAACAATGGGATTTTCTAGTTAAAATCATGCTCTTCCGTTACAGCATCATAAATTTTGACAATGGAAGTCAGCTGTTAACATTAATTTAAGACAGCATGAAATGTTTATGGAAACTGTAGGAGATAACTAATAAAAAGATGAGTAAAAAAAAATACAAAATCCAATTTTTTGCCTTTCACTATTTACCACAATCTATATCAGTTTGTTCAGCTCACAACACAACCAAAGACTAATCTCAAATTATCAACAATTGTTTTGGCCATTCTAACCCTAGTCTTGACCAAAATTAATATAAACTGTTTTATTTATTCTAACTTAAATAAAAAATATAAAAATAAGGAGATGTGGTATGATTGCCAATGAGAAAGACTGGATAGAAGGTAATACAGATTGTCTTGGCTATTCTTTCCTCCAGCTAGACCAACAGAAATATCAAATGATTTGGCTATTCTAACCCAAGGCTAGAATAAAAATAGTATAGATTCTTAAAAGTCATTCTTAAGATATTTTGTAAAACTATATATATAACATCTGATTATGACTGTGTGTGATTACACTGAGTTCACATATGACTTACTTCTGATGTGATTACACTGAGTTCACATATGACTTACTTCTGACTGTGATTACACTGAGTTCATATATGACTTAACTTCTGACTGTGATTACACTGAGTTCACATATGACTTACTTTTGATGTGATTTCACTGAGTTCACATATGACTTACTTCTGACTGTGATTACACTGAGTTCACATATGACTTACTTCTGATGTGATTCCACTGAGTTCACATATGACTTACTTCTGACTGTGATTACACTGAGTTCACATATGACTTACTTCTGACTGTGATTACACTGAGTTCACAAATGACTTACTTCTGACTGTGATTACACTGAGTTCACATATGACTTACTTCTGACTGTGATTACACTGAGTTCACATATGACTTACTTTTGATGTAATTTCACTGAGTTCACATATGACTTACTTTTGATGTGATTCCACTGAGTTCACATATGACTTACTTCTGACTGTGATTACACTGAGTTCACATATGACTTACTTTTGATGTGATTACACTGAGTTCACATATAACTTACTTCTGATGGTGGAAATCATGTGCCTCTGGTGATGGGAGGAACGGGAAATGATAACCACTGTGGGATATAGTCGTGGAAACCAGAGCAGCGAAGAACCACATCCAACCTGTAGCTAAGTGTGACCCCATTATTATTGGTCCCATCATGATGGGCATCAAGTTACTGATACAGTGCTCTAAGGGATGAGCATAGATACATATAATCCCTATTGGAGCTGTCCATTCATGGTGTAGCTTATGGAAGTGCTTATAAAGTCTGGGATGGTGCATCAGTCTGTAATATAAAACATAGATACATATAATCCCTATTGGAGCTGTCCATTCATGGTGTAGCTTATGGAAGTGCTTATAAAGTCTGGGATGGTGCATCAGTCTGTAATATAAAACATAGATACATATAATCCCTATTGGAGCTGTCCATTCATGGTGTAGCTTATGGAAGTGCTTATAAAGTCTGGGATGGTGCATCAGTCTGTAATATAAAACATAGATACATATAATCCCTATTGGAGCTGTCCATTCATGGTGTAGCTTATGGAAGTGCTTATAAAGTCTGGGATGGTGCATCAGTCTGTAATATAAAACATAGATACATATAATCCCTATTGGAGCTGTCCATTCATGGTGTAGCTTATGGAAGTGCTTATAAAGTCTGGGATGGTGCATCAGTCTGTAATATAAAACATAGATACATATAATCCCTATTGGAGCTGTCCATTCATGGTGTAGCTTATGGAAGTGCTTATAAAGTCTGGGATGGTGCATCAGTCTGTAATATAAAACATAGATACATATAATCCCTATTGGAGCTGTCCATTCATGGTGTAGCTTATGGAAGTGCTTATAAAGTCTGGGATGGTGCATCAGTCTGTAATATAAAACATAGATACATATAATCCCTATTGGAGCTGTCCATTCATGGTGTAGCTTATGGAAGTGCTTATAAAGTCTGGGATGGTGCATCAGTCTGTAATATAAAACATAGATACATATAATCCCTATTGGAGCCGTCCATTCATGGTGTAGCTTATGGAAGTGCTTATAAAGTCTGGGATGGTGCATCAGTCTGTAATATAAAACATAGATACATATAATCTCTATTGGAGCTGTCCATTCATGGTGTAGCTTATGGAAGTGCTTATAAAGTCTGGGATGGTGCATCAGTCTGTAATATAAAACATAGATACATATAATCCCTATTGGAGCTGTCCATTCATGGTGTAGCTTATGGAAGTGCTTATAAAGTCTGGGATGGTGCATCAGTCTGTAATATAAAACATAGATACATATAATCCCTATTGGAGCTGTCCATTCATGGTGTAGCTTATGGAAGTGCTTATAAAGTATGGGATGGTGCATCAGTCTGTAATATAAAACATAGATACATATAATCCCTATCGGAGCTGTCCATTCATGGTGTAGCTTATGGAAGTGCTTATAAAGTCTGGGATGGTGCATCAGTCTGTAATATAAAACATAGATACATATAATCCCTATTGGAGCTGTCCATTTGTGGTGTATCTTATGAAAGTACTTATAAAGTCTCGGATGATGCATCAGTCTGTAATATAAAAAAACATCAAATCTGAGGCTGTGTTTTAGTTTTAAATACCCGGTATACACAAAAATACAAATTCAGTTGTAAATTTATATAAATCAAATTTAAAGTCAAGGGCAGTGCAAAAGTTTGAAATATAAAAAAAATATGTTTAATGCTTCAGTCTGTGTTATAAAATAATCATGTAATTTCTGGGAAGGTGCTTGAGTCTGAATTATAAAAAGTTTAGTCTCAAATACTCCATTACTCTGAAATATAAACTTAAAATGAAGACAGTGCGTCAGTCTGAGACTCCAAGAAACCTGAAATACTTGTATTGGTTTACAAGTCTATTTAATGTATGCATAATTACTTTAAGAATGTATGTTGGTTGTGGGTTTGGTAATTTCTTTCCTTCCCAACCACCTCCATTTTACGTGTATATTTTATTTTCTTCCAAAATCTCATTCAATGTCAGTACCTTTTCGGTTACAATTTATGTTTTATAGTGACTGAGAAGGGTGAAATCCTTACGTTATTATTTCTGTATTGGTCTTGTATTTGGTCCCTGGCCATCAAGCCTCTAACCAATAAAAAGGCCAATACAGAAATAATCCTGTAATAATATCATATCATAACTGTGAGATATTTCCTGTATGGTGTATTATATATACCTGTGAGATATTTCCTGTATAATGTATTATACCTGTGAGATGTTCCCTGTATTGTGTATTATACCTGTGAGATGTTCCCTGTATTGTGTATTATACCTTTAGGATGTTCCCAGGATCTACAGAGCTTATATTACTTGTAATTTATGTGTATCAACTTTAAATAACTTGTCTATGTTTATTGTACCTGTGAGAGTAGTAAAATCCAATTTCTTCCACCAAACTAAACACAGTTAGCTCTAACAGAACCCAGGCAAATGAAGGCATCTCACCACTAATGGCACAGCCACGCCATTTCATCAAATAAAATCCAAACAATGTCATGGGAAAGGAAACAACAAATCCATTAAACAAAACAATTTTCACAGCCTTCTTTAACTTCTTTCTATCAACCTGTTTAATAAAAAGATCAAATATTTCTAAATGTGTAACATAAGACAAGAAAAGTTTCACAGTCTTCTACATTAATACATGTACAGTACAGCCTGGGACATACTCTGATAAATGGTGGCCCAAAAATTAATGCCCACTATGATGGTCCTTTCTGTCCACCATAAGACCACCTGCTATTTGATTAAAATACAAGGTATTACTATTAATCAAATCACCAGTTAATCACAATAATGGTAACAGGAACTACTGATTGCATTTTATTTAAACCATTTCTCTGTCAGAAGTCAGTTTATTGTTCTAACTGTAAATTATTTTTAAGAATCCATTATATATTGTCAGCTGAAATTAACTTTGATTCTACAATTGACTTACAAACTTTTTACCTCTCAAACACATACAACACATTCGGGGTTCGAAGTTGTCAGTGTTTTCTTCAATAATCACCCTTTGGTCCATGCATAAACAATTCTAGTACATGTATGACGTTCTTCAAACACTTGGAATACACACCCAACGGCCATGGTAAAATACTACCAAACATGCAAGAACTTTCTAGAGAGTCTATTAATAACTAAGAAATCTGCTACCAATAAGTTCTGGTAGAAAAAAAACTCAAAGAAACCAACAAAATAATATAACTTGATTTATAAAAAGGTTTGTTTACTGATACAGGTACCTGTGGCACCAAAAAGTTAAAAAACAAATGAAGTTCTTAGTTATTGGACAAGATAGTGAATACATCATTAAACCTCCTCATGACTTATAATTCATCATGAATAGATGTTTGAGGTTTTTTTTAAATCCAAATAAAGTTCAAAGCTATAAAATCATAATTTTGAATATGTCAGACAAAAGCAAAAGTTCTACATTTTTCTTGGTAAGAAAAATCATTAATGGTAATTAATGATCTTATCTTACAAAAATGGGAAATATGTAGTTTTACTATCAAAGTGAACATCAAAAACATCAATAAAATGTCAATTAAAAATCTCTAGATATGCAGCTAAAACTCCAGATGAAAATTTTCAAATCTCCAGTTATGACTTGGCAATTCAGTCACATGTCTGGAATTTAGGGGAAGATTAATTAACACATCAAAATATGGATAAAAGGAGATGTTCTGCAATTCAATGGCAAACATAACCAAAATATATCTAAAGAGTAACAAACAGTTTAAACAACAGATAGGTGTCTACACTGTTAAGCTCTAAAAGTTCTGAGTCTATAAGAGTCAACTTAAAAGTGATATGGGTGTATAATTAGAATGGTCAGATTTTAAAAGTTTTCTATACTGATGTGTGCATCCAGTTTGATTGTTATCCTCTACAAATAAAAGTATTCATTTCTTTTATTTTCTGAAATATTACTGATTGAATTCTTTCAAAATAGGTGAAAACTTGTATAGAATTGACTGCTTCGCTGAGCGCAGCTAGATACGCCCGCAGAGGTCCAACCCTGAACAGTTGGGGCAAAAATGGACATAATATTCAAGCTTGATTCAGGTCTGAATTGTAATTAAATATTTGACATATTATAGGTTTCTGAATAAATGTAGTCAAAGAACTTGAAATTGGTTATATGAATTGAATTTATATTCAATTAAACATTTCTTGCTGATGTGCAATACTTAATAAATCTGTTGTCAGACTATAAACAAATAAAGTTCAATTAATTCTCAATGTCATATTAGAAATTTATGAAAATAAAAAGGGAGCTTACATCAATAGATATAAACAATTCACCAAAGTTTCATGAGAATTGGTGACAGCATTTTTGAGTTAATGTCCGAAAACTGGAAAATCACCCCTTTTTTTAATAAATAAAACCCCACAACTCAGAAATGTAAAATGTAAAATTTATAAAATTCTAAAGGGAGTTTACATCAATACATACAAACAATTCACCAAAGTTTCATAAGAATTGCTGAAAGCATTTTTGAGTTTTTGTCTGAAAACTGGAGAATCCCCCCTTTTTTATGAATAAAACCCTGTAACTCGGAAACGTAAAATCTAAAATTTATAAAAATCGAAAGGGAGCTCATGTCAAGAGATATAATCAATTCACCACAATTTCTTGCAAGTTGGTGAAAGCATTCTTGACTTATTGTCAGAAAACTGGAAAATCCCCCTTTTTTTAATGAATAAAACCCCATAACTCGGAAACGTAAAATCTAAATTTTAAAAAAAACGAAAGGGAGCTCACGTCAATAGATATAACAATTCACCAAAGTTTTATGCAAATTGGTTAAAGCATTTTTGAGTTAATGTCCGACATGTTGATGACGGACAGACGGACAACGGTATACCATAAATGGGCATATAAAAATACATAAAATCGGCAAAAAACATTCTTACATTTGTCTTAAAAATCATCAAATCTCCAATTTCAAATCCATAGATTTATCTTAAATAAGTAAAGTTGTTAAATTATAAATTTCCATTTTAATGATATAAAATAATCATATGGTCACCGACAACATTTTTGGTGTATTAACCATTCTGTTATCTTGTTGGTAGTGAAAAACGTCGAAAATCAACGTTTAACGGCCTACAACGCAATGATGTAATGATTATTTCAACATTTTGTGGTATTTTTTCACCTAGAACAGCACTTAGAATGATGCATACTGTTAAAATGAAGTCACTGATCATATGTTATAATTTACATGATTAAAACGGAAATTTTAGTACCAACAATATAGTCTTTCAAGGAAAATCTACGGATTTGAAATTTGATGATTTAAGACAAATTTAAGAATTTTTTCACTGATTTTATGTGCTTTCTACACAAATGTTCACATATTTTGAAAGAAGTCAATCAGTTATATTTTAGAAAATAAACCAGATAAATGCATTATTATTTTGATTTTCAGTTCAAGTTCAACGAGCCAAATTAAAGTTGTATGCAAAATGGTAAGAAAATCTGTGACATAACCCATTAACTGTCAAATGACTGTTAACTTGACCTTAAATGAACATTAAGGCGGTACCAAACACCTTGACTAAAATTAATTTGGCTTGTTTACTTTTCATAAAATTTTGTCAAAATATCTTCTCTGACCCTTTGACAAAAATATAAAAATTTCAAAAAACTTGAACCACACACTATATCGGAAAAATTTCATTCAATATATACCAGTTTGACAAACACTAATTTTGATCATTGAGAAGCTTGATATCTCCTTAACAATAGAACGTGATTAAAACGTTCAGCTGATTTTTATAGAGTTATCTCCCTGTAGTGTTTTGTACCACCTTAACTGAATTCTTCCATATCACATGATTATAAACGTGTTACCCAATAGAATTGTTTATCACTTATGTAAGTTATAATAACAATAATTAATTGTTGTCAATGCATGAGTATTTACAACTTACTGGTACATTTTTGTCTTCTTGAACTTTATACTTTAGCAGAAAACCAGGTTTTCCTGTGGCATCTAAGATCAGTAATAAAGCATTGGCACCCCATATTACACCATTAGTGAATAGAATTGTTCCTGTAATGATAAATCACATGTAGTAACACTGAGGCTGATTTGTTCAGCAACTGCCACCACTTTGGCTGTTTTCTGCTCTTTGGTAGGGTTGTTGTCTCTTTGACACATTCTGCATTTCTATTCTCAATTTTATGTCATATTAGTTGTTTACTATGCCAAAGGCATATTTTTTGCATCATTTATTTTTGTTCACCAATCTTTTTTGGGTAACATATACGTAAAACGTTAAGTGTAAGGCACTTATTGCATGGGTTTAAATACATGCAAAATCGTTTGTTGGTGTGGTTCATAAGTGTTTCTTGTTTTTTTATATAGATTAGACCATTGGTTTTCCTGTTTGAATTGTTTTACACTTGTTAGTCGTTATTGGGCCCTATATAGCTTGCTGTTTCGGTGTGAGCCATGGCGCCTTGTTGAAAGTCGTACCTTTAACTTTAATTGTTTACTTTTTATACATTGTGGCTTGGATGGAGTGTTGTCTAATTGGCACTCATACCACATCTTCTTATTTATAAAAACATATTTATAAAATGTGTTATTTCATTTACTTTTTTAGCATTTCAGAACAACTGTTATGTTTAACACCCCTTTAAATTCACAAGTTTTGGGCAGTCAAAAGAGACCTTAACCAAATTTTTCTGGTTTGCTAATTATTTTTCAATTAGAGTTCAACCTTTCTTCTCAAAAACTAAACAAAGAAATCAAGTGTGCACAGTTCTAAAGTAAATGTGCAAGGCCTTCAAAAATTGCTCCCTGGAGGCTTGTAAATGTGCAGTATTTTGAAGATAACAGATAAAAGAGAGATTTTTATTGTCCATGAAATTATGCTTTTATGAATAATAAAGACAACTTTTAATTGCAGACAATAAAACACTCTATTAGAGCAATGAAGTCAAAAGAAAAGAAATTCAAAAAAAAGAAGAAAATAAGACTTTTTTACCTACCGGTATATAAGTAAAAAAAAAAATCTGAATGTCTAAGGGATATAACTCTACCTCCAACACAATTTAACTGTATCAGTAAATAAAAAACACTAGTATTACCCCTGACTGTAGGTGGGGAGGGTAGAGGGCATATGCCCCCTATGATTGAAAAAATATTTTAAGCTAACAAGTTAAAAGCCAAAAAAATCTATTTTTACCATTATTTTAAATTATGCTTCTACCCCTATCCTTGAACCCTAAATCCACCCCAGGGAACATTAACTCTTATGTGATGTCTATTTCTTATATATATGCCCTGCAAAAAAATCTGATGGGGCACAGTGAGAGATCTAATTCTAATAAAAGAACAGAGTTCTAATGTCCCCGTGCATTGCACATATTTGATCTATCCAACTTCCAAAGTACAAGGGCAATAACTAAAAAATACACTTTTCTTTGTTCTTTAAAACTGTTCATAAATATCTTAGAGAAATGAATGCTTCAGAGTAAATTCAATGTGATTTCCAATATAATTAATATTTCCAAGGGGCATAACTTGTTAAAAATATTTGATCAGCACTTATTTTCGAAGGTGTCAAAGATATTGTTTATATAAACCTATGATATAATTTTCATAAAATTCTGGCAAGAATTGTACCCATGAGAGCGCTAACAATGCAATTTTACATACAATTAATATTTCCAAGGGGCCTAACTCTTTTAAAAATAATTGATCGTCAATGATTTTCGAACTTGTCCGAGACATTGCTGATATAAACCTACAATGTATGATATAAGTTTGTTAAAAATCTGTCTAGAATTGTACATGTGAGAGCGCTAACAAGACCGAACAGACGGACGCCCGGTATTTCTATGTCCTCCTGCAACGCGTTGCGCGGGGGACAATAAGATTGGAAAATTCACTAGCAAGGTGATTTGTAACTGAAACACTGTGTGGGTACTGTACATGTAAATACATGTAATTCACAGATACAAATGTACAATTCTCTTCACCAAATACCCCTAAATATAAATCACAGGTACAAATGTACAATTCTCTTCACCAAATACCCCCAAAATATAAATCACAGGTACAAATGTACAATTCTCTTCACCAAATACCCCAAAAATATACAAACAGGTACAAATGTACAATTCTCTTCATCAAATTCCCCAAAATATAAAAATACATTGAATGTAACCTTTTCAACCAGGATTTGCTTTCTGAACAGTTAGACCTTACCTATAACTCCTACTGCCAGATCATTCCTTCCAAACAGTTAGACCTTACCTATAACTCCTACTGCCAGATCATTCCTTCCAAACAGTTAGACCTTACCTATAACTCCTACTGCCAGATCATTCCTTCCAAACAGTTAGACCTTACCTATAACTCCTACTGCCAGATCATTCCTTCCAAACAAGTCATACACACTGTCCCATAAATTCTGCCAGAAATTCCCAGATGCTCCCCAGAATTGTTGTAGATGCCTAAATATAGTAACATATTGACAGTTAAACAGTACAGAGGTCACAATATTCATACTTCTTTTCCACCAGTAACGTTTTATAAATTTATCATATAGTAGAAGAAGTATCAGTTTGAATCTCCATGTTGTGATGTCTACACAGCTGTAGCGTTCATACAGAGACATCTATTGAAATGAATATAACCTTTTGTTTAAGGTCAAAGCCGTTGAAAATGTTCAAAGAAATCTACGTTAAAATTTCAATATAAAAATTGTTCAAGATGATATGAACTCCGTTAAAAATTTCACTATTATAAAATCTTAGCTTAAAATGTTCAATATGATATATTCTCCAATGAAATATTCAATATGAAATACATGATATAATCTCCAATGAAATGTTCAATATGATATAATCTCCAATGAAATATTCAAAATGATATAATCTCCAATAAAATGTTCAAAATGATAAAATCTTGGTAGATCCATCCATTACAGAAATCTCATGTCATCATCTGATATAACATGTATTTGAGGCTCTTAATGAGAAAATGTACATAAAAAATAATTTATTAAGCTTTTTCTTTTAATAACTGGACCTCTCTCTGAGTTGTTCTACCTATCCTTATATTCGCTATAGTTGAAAGATTAGGCACATATATTTACTATATCAATAGATGTTAAGACATTGTTTTTTAACAGGCTAAAGTTATAAATGATTCCATGTATAACCCTGGTAGTCTGAAGACTTATTATTACTTACATATTAACATATATCTTCAGGTTATACATCTAAAAACTAAAGTACATTGCAGGAACTATCTAGTTCATTTAAAAATAAAATGCTTCGCTGAGTGCAGCCTGATACGACCGCAGAGGTCAAACCCTGAACAGTTGGTACAAATTTGGAAACAATATTCAAGCTTGATACTGTCTGAATTTGGATTGTGATCAAATTTTTGACATAATATAGATTTCTGACACAAAATAAATGTGGTCAAAGATCTTACAAATATATTGCGCAATACTGTGCAATTGAAGATTTCTTCTTGAAACTTTTCAAAAAATCTAAATTTGAAAATTTTGAAAAAAAAAATATGAATCCTCTGAAAAAATTGGAAAAAAAAATCCCCCGTCCCCCAACTTTTTTGAAACCCCCCTTGGAGCAATAACCCCAAAACTCGATCCTAGCCTTTCCTTTGTAGTAAGGAACCTTGTAGTACAATTTCAGAGAGATCCATACACGTAAACACAAGTTATTGTCTGGAAACTAGAAAAATGCTTGTTTTTGGCCCCTATTTCCTACATATTTGGGCAATTAACCCCAAACTCAATCCTAGCCTTCCCTTTGTGATATGGAACCTTGTGGTACAATGTCAGAATGATCCATACACTTACACACAAGTTATTGTCTGGAAACTAGAAAAATGCTTGTTTTTGGCCCTTAATTCCTATAAACTGTTGGCCCCATCACCCCTAAAATAAATCCCAACCTTCCACTTGTGGTATTAAACATTGTCTTACAATTTCAGAGCAATCGAAATACTTATACACAAGTTATTATCCTGAAACTAGAAAAATGCTTGTTTTGGGCCCTTTTTGGGCCCCTAATTCCTAAACGGTTGGGACCATCATCCCCATAATCAATCCAAAACTTCCTTTTGTGGTATTGAACCTTCTTAATACATTTCATAGAGATCCATTCACTTAAACTAAAGTTATTGTCCGGAAACCAATGTGTCTTCGGACGACGACATCATACCATTATACGATCCCAAAAAATGTTTTGCGGTCGTATAAAAATGGGGAATGTGTCCATCAGACACAGATGATGCCCCCGCTTGCATATCATATGAAGTTATAAAGGGACATAACTGAAGAACGGTAAAAGTGACGCTACCCAAATTTGTTCTTGATCTGAGTTTTGTGGTAATAAGTATTGTGTATAAGTCTCATAACATGAGGTTGAGGCTAACTTAAGTTAAAGAACAGAAACGAAAAATTCAGCAATTTTTCCATTTGTAAACTGGCATAACTCTAGAACAGTAAAAGTAATACAACCAATATTCAAATTTGATCTGTATTTTGTGGTAATAAGCATTGTGTATAAGTTTCATAACATTTGGTTAGGGCAAACTAAAGTTAGAGAACAGAATTGAAAAATTCAACAATTTTTATGTTTATAAAGGGGCATAACCCAAGAACGGTAAAAGTGACGCTACCCAATTACAAACTTGATCTGTATTATGTGGTAATAAGCATTGTGTATAAGTTTCATAACATTTGGTTGAGGCAAACTAAAGTTGGAGAATGGAAACGAAAAATTCAGCAATTTTTCAATTTGTAAAGGGGCATAACTCTAGAACTGTTATAGTGACGACACTAATTTTCAAACTTGATCTGTGTTTTGTGGTAATAAGCATTGTGGATAAGTTTCATAACTTTTGGTTGTGGCAAACTAAAGTTAGAAAACGGAAACCAACTTTGGGACGTAAATACGGACGGATGTACAAGGGTAAAACTTAATGCCCCCTCTGCTACGGCGGGGGCATAACTATCTAATTCTAATATCTGTAAAGGGAGCTTCTTTAGTTTTCACAAGATACGAAAATATTACATTTTATTGCTTCCTACAGTTTGTGGGTTTTTGGGGTTTTTTTTGGTGGGGGGAGGGCGTCCTTTATAGGTAAATGCTAAATTTATTCCCATATATATATCATTAGTAAGTGATTTAGAGTCAATAATATTCCATAAACTTGTCAACTGTTGAAGTCTACTTATTGACTGACAATTCTTGATATTACTGTCATGACTGTTGTCCCATAGTCTACAACTATGTTGCTACAAAATACTCACCATACAACAGAATTTCTGAATGCTATAAATATCAAAAGTGGTGATCCTATAACAAACAAGGCTTTCTTTACAGAGTCAACAAGCTGAACTCTTCTGTTTTGATCTGTAACCATGTTAACTGGTGGTGAAGGTTGTACTTCAGCCATCCTCTGTAAAAATAAACAAAAATAAACAATGAATCCATCAACTGTTTACATAAACATGAAACAGTGTTGACTCCAAAGAACTTTTGTATGGTGCCTTGATTAGTGTGTGATATTCAACTGATTCATCTTTTGTGTTATGAATTTGTGTTATGCTAGCTTGTAATGCAATGCTGGTTAACTTACTTTAAAACATATAACCTTTTAAATGTGTCAGTAAGACAAGTGTCAAGCCCCTGTCGCATCCTTATTGTTGCCTAATTGCTAAATGAACATTTTTCAGACTTCCTTTAAGTTAAAATGGTTAAGGGGGACATAGACTGGTAACACTTGTCTGATTTGATGGATTTATAGTGTGGCTATCAACACCGATAAATACATAATGTAGTATTTTGTACATGTATTTGTTGTATGGGGAGAGTCAGTCATGAAATTGTTCTAGCCAAATAGGTACATACTAGATCTATACTTAATTCTGTGAAAAGTTGGTCAACATGCCATGGAACGAAAAACAAACTCCATCTATAGGCCATCATCATACATTAAGGTACACATACCAAAAATCATATTTATATCTATACGCAGGTTTAGGGGGAGTTTAGATTCTGTGAAAGTTTCATAAAATTCTTTCAAATGGTTTAGGATCCCTGAGCAGTTGCTGATACATAAGTGGGACTTTTTATATAAAATATGTTACCGGGTAATTGCACACACACTTGTATGATAATCAAGTCCCAGAAGGTTGATACATGTACCCCTATGGAAAAACTTGGTTCATGCTGATTTGGTGAATTACTTATTGACCCTCAGACTGATCATTTGCTGATGAGATGCTTGAAGGTATAGTTTGTTGTGTCCTGCACAGAGAGTGGTCTTTAGGAAGCATCTTCATTCTACGGTACTTATACTACTATTACTCATAGTAAGGCCTTTTCATTGAAAAAAGGTTAAAATTCTGATTTTTTTTTTTTATGATTTATGACTTTAAAACACAATGGCAGGCCAAAAACTGAAAATACAACTCATGATCTAATAGCAATGAATATTTGGACCTGCATAGTCAAATTATGTTTTATAAAAATTAATTTACAATTTTGACTTGCCTATAAACTACACGTATTTAATGAAAATTTAATAAAGACTTGTTTATGTTTTATAAAATGGGATGAAAACACTTTATTTGATTTCTTAAGTAGATCTATATGGGGTCTTGAAGACTTTTTAAAAAAAATTCTCATATCATATGAAAGCTGCTGTCACTTTATATAATTCTACAATTGTTTGTGTTATTGTTTGTATTTGATCATCAGGTCATCATGTGATCATGTGATCATGCCGTAACCATTTTATGTTAACATGTTTGTGCAATTAATATTGTCTATTAATGTCTCAAATTTTGGTAACATATTAACTGCAACATTTTGATACAGGTCAAATATTTTTTGCTTAACATTAGTTGACTTGTTGAAGTCATGTTTTGTTTTCAGGTAGCTGCAGTGTCTAAATGTTCGACGATAAGATTTTTCTTAAACTTCTGTAAAAGACTTCTGGGTCAATGTGCTTTCAAATTTCAATATAAAAAGTGGGGGTCACAGACCTTGTTTCTTTGTTGAAATACATTGAAATGAACAAAATCACAGTTATTCATAAGGTTATATAGAAAAAATCTAATTATTCCTTATTGAGGAAAAATTAAACAATAGAATTAGTTAAAATTCAATGAGAGAATTGCTTTTCCTAATTCCTTCCGAAATACAAAATAATAAAATGCTCCACTGGGCGCAGCTTGATACGACCTCAGAGGTCGAACCCTGAACAGTTGGGGCAAGTATGGACACAACATTCAAGCTTGATACAGCTCTGAATTTGGATGGTGATTAAATATTTGACACAGCATAGGTTTCTGACACAGAATGAATGTGGTCTAAGAACTTATATTTTTTTAATTTACCTATTATGGTCCAATATCCAAAATCTAAATACATGGTTAGATTCAGCATATCAAAGAATCCAAAGAATTCAATTTTTGATGAAATCAAACAAAGTTTAATTTTGGACCCTTTTGACCTCAATGTGGACCAATTTGATAACGGGGCCCAAAAATCAAAATACATGGTTAGATTCAGAATATTAAAGAACCACATATATTCAATTTTTGTTGAAATCAAACAAAGTTTAATTTTGGACCCCAACTTGGACCAACTTGAAAACTGGGCCCATAATCAAAAATCTAAACACATGTTTAGATTCAGCATATCAAAGAACCCCAAGAATTCAATTTTTGTTAAAATCAAACTAAGTTTAATTTTGGACCCTTTGGACCTTAATGTAGACCAATTTAAAAAAGGGAACCCAAAATTAAAAATCTAAATAAACGGTTAGATTTGGCATATCAAAGAACCCCAATAATTCAATTTTTGATGAAATAAAACGTTTAATTTTGGACCCTTTTGACCTCAATATGAACCAATTTGATAGCGGGGCCCACAAATAAAAAATCTAAATACATGGTTAGTTTCAGCATATCAAAGAACCCCATATATTCAATTTTTGTTAAAATCAAACAAAGTTTAATTTTGGACCCCAATTTGGACCAACTTAAAAACTGGGCCCAAAATCAAAAATCTAAATACATGTTTAGATTCAGCATATCAAAGAACCCCATATATTCAATTTTTGTTAAAATCAAACTAAGTTTAATTTTGGACCCTTTGGACCTTAATGTAGACCAATTTTAAAAAGGGGACCCAAAATTAAAAATCTAAATAAACGGTTAGATTTGGCATATCAAAGAACCCAAATAATTCAATTTTTGATGAAATAAAACGTTTAATTTTGGACCCTTTTGACCTCAATATGAACCAATTTGATAGCGGGGCCCACAAATAAAAAATCTAAATACATGGTTAGATTCAGCATATCAAAGAACCCAATATATTCAATTTTTGTTAAAATCAAACTAAGTTTAATTTTGGACCCTTTTGACCTCAATGTGGACCAATTTGATAACGGGGCCCAAAAATCAAAATACATGGTTAGATTCAGAATATTAAAGAACCACATATATTCAATTTTTGTTGAAATCAAACAAAGTTTAATTTTGGACCCCAACTTGGACCAACTTGAAAACTGGGCCCATAATCAAAAATCTAAACACATGTTTAGATTCAGCATATCAAAGAACCCCAAGAATTCAATTTTTGTTAAAATCAAACTAAGTTTAATTTTGGACCCTTTGGACCTTAATGTAGACCAATTTAAAAAAGGGGACCCAAAATTAAAAATCTAAATAAACGGTTAGATTTGGCATATCAAAGAACCCCAATAATTCAATTTTTGATGAAATAAAACGTTTAATTTTGGACCCTTTTGACCTCAATATGAACCAATTTGATAGCGGGGCCCACAAATAAAAAATCTAAATACATGGTTAGTTTCAGCATATCAAAGAACCCCATATATTCAATTTTTGTTAAAATCAAACAAAGTTTAATTTTGGACCCCAATTTGGACCAACTTAAAAACTGGGCCCAAAATCAAAAATCTAAATACATGTTTAGATTCAGCATATCAAAGAACCCCATATATTCAATTTTTGTTAAAATCAAACTAAGTTTAATTTTGGACCCTTTGGACCTTAATGTAGACCAATTTTAAAAAGGGGACCCAAAATTAAAAATCTAAATAAACGGTTAGATTTGGCATATCAAAGAACCCAAATAATTCAATTTTTGATGAAATAAAACGTTTAATTTTGGACCCTTTTGACCTCAATATGAACCAATTTGATAGCGGGGCCCACAAATAAAAAATCTAAATACATGGTTAGATTCAGCATATCAAAGAACCCAATATATTCAATTTTTGTTAAAATCAAACTAAGTTTAATTTTGGACCCTTTGGACCTTAATGTAGACCAATTTGAAAACTGGACCCAAAATTGAAAATCTAAATACACGGTTAGATTTTGCATATCAAAGAACCCCAATAATTCAATTTTTTATGAAATAAAACAAAGTTTAATTTTGGACCCTTTTGACCTCAATATGAACCAATTTGATAGTGGGGCCCACAAATAAAAAATCTAAATACATGGTTAGATTCAGCATATCAAAGAACCCCATATATTCAATTTTTGTTGAAATCAAACAAAGTTTATTTTTGGACCCCAATTTGGACCAACTTGAAAACTGGGCCCAAAATAAAAAATCTAAATACATGTTTAGATTCAGCATATCAAAGAACCCCATATATTCAATTTTTGTCAACATCAAACTAAGTTTAATTTTGGACCCTTTGGACCTTAAAGTAGACCAATTTGAAAACTGGACCCAAAATTAAAAATCTAAATACACAGTCAGATTTGGCATAACAAATAAATAAATGTGGTCAAAGATTTTACAAATCTAATGCGCTATACTGTGCAATTAAAGATTACTTCTTGAAATTTTTCAATATTTGAAATTTGAAAAAAAAATAATATTTGAAGAATAATTGTTTTTAATTTCTGAAATCTGAAATGAGAAAAAATTGACCCCCCCACAATTTCTTTTTACCCCCCCCCCCCCCCCCTTTTCCCCCAAAAAATTCTTTCCCTCAAGATATGGTCATAATCTCAATTCAAATTACCAATGTGCTAACTTAATCTTTAAAATATGGTGTCAAATCTTTCATATGGATTTTTTTGTAAAAAAAAAAAAGATGCAACATTTGCAGATATTTTTACTGGTCTTCCCTTCCTTTATAAATATGCATTTCTTTAAACATAATTTAAAAGCAGTGTAAGGGAAGTAATCAAAACGTATTTGGATTACCTCCCTTACACTGTTTTAAATTGTCTTAATTGTTCATTAACCATTACTTTATACATAATTTAAAAGCAGTGTAAGGGAGGTATTTCAAATGATGTATTTGATTTATCTCCCTTACACTGCTTTAAATTATGTTTTGTACTAAAGTATTTGTCCATTAACAAGGACAACCTTTTTTTCCCCTTTTTTGCCCCTAATTCCTAAATGGTTTGAGCCATAACCCCCAAAATCAATCCCAGCATTCCCTTTGTGATATGGAACCTTGTGGTACAATGTCAGAGAGATCCATACACTAACACACAAGTTATGTCTGGAAGTTACAAAAATGCTTATTTTTGGCCCCTAATTCCTTAACTGTTGGTACCATAACCCCCAAAATCAATCCCAACCTTCCTTTTGTGGTATTGAACCTTATGGTAAAATTTCATAGAGATCCATTCACTCAAAATAAAGATAGAGTGCGAAAACCAATGTGTCTTCGGACGACAACGACGACGACGACGACTAAGCCAACGTCATACCAATATACCTCACAAATTTTTTTGCGGTCGTATAAAAATAGGGGGTCACAGGCTTTATTTTCTTGAAAAATGAAAAAAAATTTAATTGTCCTATCAAATTCAGTATAATTATCTGCCCTTGATATTAAAAGATTTTTTTCTGAAATTTTTCAATACACTTAACGACACTTAATATTTTGATAGTATAATCTTAAAATTTAAAGTTTTAGATGTTTTTGTTGTATATTGAATGATACATGGTAAAAAAAAATTAATCCACAAAAGTATTTTTGCATTGCAACATGCCCAGAATTGATGCTCAGAAAAAGACACCTGATGCATGATCTACCTTAAACTAAAAGTTTAACCCTTGAAACATACAAAATTAACATAGGACATAGGCAAAATCTATTTGTAGATCATATATTTTTAAACAATTTGGCAACTTTATCTACCGTAGTAGACATTTGTGCTTTGTAATTTTATTAGCTGCCAGTATTTTGTAACTGTACATGCATATGAATTCAGATTTAAATACAGAATATATATTTAAAGATTTTGTTTTCTGTTCAGACACATAAATTGCTTTGTATATATATACAAAACATTATTAGTGTAATCTCAAATAATCAGTTCATAGTATTGCGCATCATTTATTTTATAACCCATACTAAATTTTTCAATGTTAGAATAATTAATATTAATTGATATTCAGTTTTTCAAGGTATTTAAAAAAAATTTGATTTTATTATATCAATAAAATCTTTGACTTTATCTGTTTATTTATGTATAAATATAAAAATAAACAGATGAGTTATGATTGCCAATAAGACAACTATCCACCAAAGTTCAAATGAAGAGGATGTAAGCAATTAAATGCAACCATACGGCCTTCAACAATGAGAATAAATTGCTTCGCCGAGCGCAGCTGGATACGACCGCAGAGGTCCAACCCTGAACAGTTGGGGCAAAAATGGACACAATATTCGCGCTTGATACAGGTCTGAATTTGAATTGTAATTCAATATTTGATATATAATAGGTTTCTGACACAGAATAACTGTAGTCAATAACCAAAAATTCAGGCTACCAAACTACCCTTACTAGGAATGTATATCAATATTGAATTAACACATTTTTAATTTTAGTTTATTTGGCCTAATTATTTTTTTCTCTCCATTTAATACTAGTATATATATATTTTTGTTTGTTTGCTTGGAAGCAGATTCTTGTTCATTTTTATACATAGGACTACAGAGTTGGCATACGTGGGTTCGATTTCCACCATTGGTACATGTAGATGTACATGATGTATTGATATATATATATATCGGCTGGTGCAAAGAGGGTAAATTGGCCAAGTGGCCTCATGTCACATCTGTTGTTCCTGTGTCTAAAAATTCAATCAGCCACATCTAAGTCCCCTGTGATTGCTTTCTTCTTTCTTAGTTTTTTCTTCGAAGTTCAGATATAACAAAACTATGGTAATAATTGTGAAAATCATTATGGTTTTAAATCTCGTTTATTGAGATTTATACTCTGGCTGCATTCCCATATGCTCCATTATACAGTTATAGCATTTGTATAGGTTAAAATTAGTTATACAAGCCAGAGACATATATATACATTTGTATATGAATGTCTCTGTACAAGCTAAGGTTAAACATATTAAATTAGTTAGCTTTCATGTCGATCCGGCCCCAAGTCGATCTGTCCCAAGTCGTTCCATCCCAAGTCAATCCTGCCACATATTTAAAGTCGATCCGTCCCAAGTCAATCCGGTCCCATATTTAAAGTCGATCTGGCCCAAATATAAAAAATATTTATCAGGAATATGGATAAAGATATATATGAATTCACTTTTCAGTGTAAATCATAAATGTTTATGAATTTTATAATATTACAAAAGGTACACATGTAGATGGTAAAAATGTTGGCCTTTGACGAATACTTGAACATTAAATTTTCATAAGATGAGACATTTATTTGAATATGTTTTTTAAATTTATATTAAGAATTCATATAAAAATATATCAATATTTTTATATAAAATATTTGAATTCAAATCAATTTATCACCTTTAATGAATACGGATGATTATGCAGTATGTTGATTATGTTTTTATATTACAAATTTTCAAGACTATTGAGTATGCATAATTATAATCATAACATATATAACAGAATTTAGTACCATCAACATTAATCGGCAGTAATTAGCATTTTTCAATTGACAAGTCTTTCAACTGGTGTAATAACAAATTGTTACATACACAACTGTACAAGCCGATCCCCAAGCTGATGTATACAAACTTTGTTTTTGTTTAAAGTTATAAAAACTTCTCAAATTGAGAAATGTTGTTTGATTTGCCAAATCCTTTCTATAAAAGAAGAGACATGATGGGTTTTTCTTTTAGTATATCACAATTCGATGGTACAAAAAATAAAAAAAAGAACACAGAGAAGACAGTGGTGAAAAGAAATAATAGTACATTTCTTCTTCATGTTACCTGATAAAATATAACAATTAATTATTAGAACTTCAAATAAAAGACCTTGATGCTTAAGTAAATTTTATCAATCATGATTTTAATTGAATTAAGTGATTACGACTGGAGTTAATTTGGTTCACGATCATCAGACAATTGTTGAATAAACAAACCAATTATATACATGTAGACTATTGATTTGATTTAAAAAAGTCATTATGATGATTACATAATTATATGTTCTATTGGATTGTAAATATCTATTTATCTCTTCTATGTGTGAATTAAATAAAAAAAAATTTCCCAATGATATTCCAAGTTATCTGATGCTGCCTCACAAACAGTACCAATCATGATACTCATTTCGTATCGATTTAAAATAATTCATCTGAATGTTAGTATTGTTACTCAAATATTAGGCATACTTCACTTACCTGCTGTCATTAAGCATCGATACTTTTTATAAATTCCGTTTATCCTGATTTAAACAGGTTGGGAACAAACCCTCTACATGGTGTTTTTACCTGTATAGAGGGATAATCCTTCTATAGAAGGATAAAATTATCCCTCTATAAAGGGGTATTTTTGTTTAGACTGGATTTAAAGCAAAATAGGGCAGATTGGCATTTTCTAGTTATATTGGCTATAATCTATAGCATTGAATGCATCAATAAATGCGCTTTATTAAAAATTGGGATGCCCAGTTTTTTGCTAAAGTGACAGAACTTGAAATCTATTGTATAGCTATCTGAACACCTGATCAACAACAAAAGGGACAGTTGACCTTTAAATTTTATGTTAAATCTAACAATACAAATTCTGTTCAGTGAGGCATAACTGAGTAGAATTTACCTGATCATCACAGCTTTCAATTATGATGAACAATAGATTGTATATTCAGTCAGTTTAGCAGTAAACTGGGCATGTACAAATTAAATTAAGTACATCAATTGATGCATACAATGCTATAGATTATAGCCAATATGACAAGAAAATGCCAATCTGCCCTATTTTGCTTTAAATCCAGTATAAACAAAAAAACCGATCTGTAGAGGGATAATTTTATCCCTCTATAGAAGGATTATCACTCTATACAGGTAAAAACACCATGTAGCGGGTTTGTTCCCAACCTGTTAAATATGTCAACAAATCCTTCAAATTTAACATAAATTAGTCATTAATTTATTATGGGGCCAGATCGATGTAGGCTGGATCGACTTGGGCAGGTTAGGTTTGGGGCCGGAACGACCTGATACCAATTAGTTATACAAGCTAAGGTTAAGCATGTTAAAATTAGTTATCAAATACAATGTTGTATAACTCATTAACTGGAGATATAATTATAAAGCTAGTCTAAATTGTTGAGTTAGGGAAGACTTTCCTTGGCTAAATCGGTTAGAACGCTTCCTTTAGATTAAGGGTTCGAATCCCGCTGGTACCATCGATATATTTTCACAATAACAATAACAATGTATGTAAGGGGTCCAAAGTTCACCTTGACAATAATATACTCATTACTTGCATTTGGGTGTGCACATATTTGTGACAGTTTATACCATGCTATGAATATTTATTTAAGGAATAATATTATTTATCCAGCAAGTATTCTTTTTTAAGAACAAATATACATACTGTCATTTCTCCTACTTACGTGTAGAACTGTACCACTGCAAACACACTCGTGGTTACAAAAAGTTGTTTATTTATAAACGGAAACTGATCTTTGACATGCGCACTTATATACGAAAACAAACAAGAGGCTCATAGTTTACAAATAAAAAATAACATTTGTTAGCGGTCAGTAATTATATATTTAACAAAAGTTATTTCTATTATACCTATGTAAATCTAACGCAGGAAAGCACGAAAATAATCGAAATTAAACTAAAACAAAAACAAAAATAACGGATTTCTTGGGGGAAAAGGGGAGGGCAAAATAATGGGCGTGTCCCCAAGTACCTAGGTTGAAAATGTATGGAAATACATACTGTCCAAAGGAAAAGATGCACTAATGAATGATTAACGTAAGGGCTTTCCCCTTAATTATTATTATCAGTAGGCGTATACGAAATTTGTGTGTTCCAAGTTGAATCCATATTCGGCTGGTTTTTATGTTTTTATTCACCAGTATTTATATTTTATGAAATTCTTTTCTTTTCTTTTATAAATGTATATATGTTAATTGTTTTAATCAACCTAATCTTTGAAATCATTTCGAGTATAGTATGTTTTTTATTGAAGTTATAATTAAACTGTAATTATTCTGCCCTAATACGGGCAGTGTGATAAAATTACTTGTATTTGTATTTGAATAGCGCGCTTCAACAGAATATAAAACATTCTAGAGCCACTATGACTCGTTCAAGTGTTATTTAGTTGTGATAGGTACACATAACGTTAATGTGTTATACAATTTGTATTGATATAAAATATTGAACTGAGGTCTTTGAGCCAATAATTAAGCATTCGTGTGTGAAATATGAAAATGCGTAAATTAAGATGTTTTATTTCTAAATTCCGAATTCATTTGTATTACAGTTGCAGTTTGACCTGTAATTAAATATATATAAAAATGCAATCCTTCATGTTTTTTTTTTTCTTTTTTATATATGTTGGAACTCACTTTTTGTAAAGGTGTGAAGATATCTAGAAATGAATCTCGCGAGGGTTTAACTTTTGATTGGTTGGTCAATTCGCAACATCACTCAAAAATGTGGTGGTTATCTGTTGTATGATAGGAAAACCAATCAGAACTATTGAAATACTCCCATGGGTTATGTGGAGATATATACCCTCATATTTTTACAATTATAGAAAGTTGAAGGAATTACGGTACATGTCCATATACCATACGTCAAACTCTAAATCACATCGAGTACAAACAAGTCTCCGTACCATATGTCAGGCTCTATATCGCCCCGAAAACAGAAAAGTTTCCATACCATACATCAAGCTCTAAATTGCCCCGAGTGTAGACAAGAGTCCATAATATATATCACGCTATAAATCTTACCGAGTTGAAAAAATTCTCCATACCATACCGGTATGTCAAGTTTGAATCGCAGAGAGTGCAGAAATGTCTCTTTAATATACATCAAGCTCTGAATCGCCCCGAGTGTATACAGGAGTCCATACTATATATCACGCAAATATGTCAAGCTCAAAATCGCACCGAATACAAACGATTCTCCATACCATCTATCAAGCTCAAAATCGCACCGAGTAAAAATAAATCTTCTAACCATTTTTCATGCTCTAGATCGCCCCGAGAACAGACAACTCTCCATATCATATGTCAGGCTCTAAATCATAACGAGTACAGACAAGTCTCCATACCACATATCAGGCTCCCAATTATAACGAGTACAGACAAGTCTCCATCCCATATATCAGGTTCCCAATCACAACGAGTACAGACAAGTCTCCATACCATGTGTCAAGCTATCAATCATAACGAGTACAGACAAGTCTCCATACCATATGTCAAGCTCTCAATCATAACGAGTACAGACAAGTCTCTATGTCAAGGTCTCAATCATAACGAGAACAGACAAGTCTCCATACCATATGTCAAGCTCTCAATAATAACGAGTACAGACAAGTCTTCATACCATATGTCAAGATCTCAATCATAACGAGTACAGACAAGTCTCCATACCATATGTCAAGCTGTTAATCATACCGAGTACAGACAAGTCTCCATACCAGATGCCAGGCTCTCAATCACAACGCGTACAGACAAGTCTCCATACCATATGTCAAGCTCTCAATCATAACGAGTACAGACAAGTCTCCATACCATATGTCAAGCTCTCAATCATAACGAGTACAGACAAGTCTCTATGTCAAGCTCTCAATCATAACGAGTACAGACAAGTCTCCATACCATATGCCAGGCTCTCAATCACAATTAACGCGTACAGACAAGTCTCCATACCATATGTCAAGCTCTCAATCATAACGAGTACAGACAAGTCTCCATACCATATGTCAAGCTCTAAATCATAACGAGTACAGACAAGTTTCCATATCATATGTCAGGCTCCCAATCATAACGCGTGCAGACAAGTCTCCATACCACATATCAGGCTCCCAATCATAACGAGTACAGACAAGTCTCCATAACACATATCAGGCTCTCAATCATAACGAGTACAGATAAGTCTCCATACCATATGTCAAGCTCTAATTCATAACAAGTACAGACAAGTCTCCATACCATATGTCAAACTCTCAATCATAACGAGTACAGACAAGTCTCCATACAATATGTCAGGCTCCCAATCATAACGAGTACAGACAAGTCTCTATACCACATGTCAAGCCCTAAATCATAACGAGAACAGACAAGTCTCTATACCATATGTCAGGCTCCCAATCATAACGACTACAGACAAGGCTCCAGACCATATGTCAGGCTCCCAATCATAACGAGTACAGACAAGTCTCCACACCATATGTCAGGCTCTAAATCATAACGACTACAGACAAGTCTCCATACCATATGTCAAGCTCTAAATCAATACGACTACAGACAAGTCTCCATACCATATGTCAGGCTCCCAATCATAACGAGTACAGACAAGTCTCCATACCATATGTCAAGCTCTGAATCATAACGACTACAGACAAGTCTCCATACCATATGTCAGGCTCCCAATCATAACGAGTACAGACTAGTCTCCATACAATGTGTCAAGCTCTCAGTCATAACGAGTACAGATAAGTTTCCATACAAATGTCATGCTCTAAATCGCATCGAGTAAAAATAAGTCGTCATACCATACGTCAGGCTAAATCTTAACGAGTACAAACAAGTCTCCGTACCATATGCCGAGCTCTAAATTGCACAGAGTACAAACAAGTCTCTATATCTTTTCAATCTATAAATCGCCCCAGAAAACTAAAAATTCTCCATATCATGTATCAAGCTCTGAATCGCAGCTAGTGCAGAAATGTCTCCATATTATACATCAAGCTATAAATCGCATGCAAGTGCAGACAAGTCTCCATACCATATAAAAATAAGGAATTTTGATATGATTGCCAATGAGACAACTATCCACCAAAGTTCAAATGAAGTGGATGTAAGCAATTATAGGCAACCGTACGACCTTCAACAATGAGAAAAGCCCATACCGTATGGTCGGCTATTAAAGGCCCTACATGAAAAATATGAAACAATTCAAATGAGAAAACTAACGGCCTAATTTATAACAAAACAATTTACGAAAAACAAATATGACAGACATGAACCAACCACAACCACTGAACTACAGGCTCCTGACTTGAGACAAGCACATAAAGAATGAGGCGGGGTTAAACATGTTTGTGAGCACTCAACCCTCCCCTAACCTGGGACAGTGTTGTAACAGTACAACATAAGAACAAACTATAAAAATCAGCTGAAAAAGGCTTAACTCATCAGATGGATACAAATAGAAATACATCTAACAAAAACACAGAGTGGACGTGGACGAGTACTTATACATCCCCACAACAAAAAGACATTTAGTACAGATCAGAGAGTACTCACAGTTACTGACAGCTAGTTCAAAGCCAATAACAACTAATAAAGATTTTCATGTATCTAAGACTAAAATATCAATCAGTATACATCCAACATCAAATGGATTTAGTGTAAAGATGCCATTAACAGTCAGAGAAAAACATGACATTGAGCAATGCCAAACTATAAGTATCGACAGATTGTAGTACCGTGAGAGTACATATGTGCAATATTTAGTATGGTTTTAATTTACTGATAACAAAATCAATATTTATACCAATAAAAACAATATTCAAAGATTTAATTACAGTGTTGAAAAGGTAACCTTTTATAATAAGTTTATTTAAAGAATTGATATGTTTACACGGATCGCATCTAAATTTCCGGGCTCGGTTTACAACATCACCGTAAAATTTAGGATGTGCTATTCCGTTTGAAATAAGTTTTCTACAGGCACAGCCAATTTTGCAGACCAAATCTTTGTATCTATTGGAGAATTTTAGTAAAGGTTTTAAGTAATTTGTGGTAACGAAATCCCTGACTTAATAATTTACAAGAAATACATAGATTACGCTCATTGAAATCCAAAACGTCACTACAGACACGAGCATAGCGAACGAGTTGGGATATATAAACACCGTTAGACGGTGCCAAAGGAACATCACCGTCCAAAAAGGGAAAATTAACAATAAGGAAAGAAAAATCATCCCTTTTGTTGTGAATTTTTGTGTAGCGTTTCTGGTGTAATACTGAAATATCTAAATCTAGGAAAGGACAGTTATTGCTGTTAATATTTGATTTATTTAAAGTAAGTTCCTTTGTGTAATTTTCAGCAGTATATTTAGAGAATTCTTGATTATTTAACGAAATACATCATCAAGATAACGGTAAGTGTTGTTGAATTTATCAATTAAATTGAATTTAGACGGTTCTTTACTGAGTTTGGCCATGAAACTGTGATTCAGTAAAGGAACAAGTCTGCTATTAAAGGGGCACAATTGGTGCCCATAGGAATACCTACAACCTGTCGATAAACTTTATTACCGAAACGTACATAAATGTTGTCAAGGAGAAAATTTAGTGCTTTAATCATCTCATCACACCTCCAGTAAGTATATCTAGCATATTTACCTTTCATATGCCATTCTCTAAATCGCCTCGAGTACAAACAAGTCTCCATACCGGTATGTCAAGCTCTAAATCGCCCCGAGTACAAACAAGTTTCCATACCATATGTCAAGCTCTATATCGCACCGAGTACAAACAAGTTTCCATACCATATGTCAACTCTATATCACACCGAGTACAAACAAGTTTCCAAACCATATTTCAAGCTCTAACTCGCCCCGAGTACAAACAAGTTTCCATACCATATGTCAACTCTACATCACACCGAGTACAAACAAGTTTCCATACCATATGTCATGTTCTAAATCGCACCGAGTACGAACAAGTTTCCATACCATATGTCAAGCTCTAAATCGCACCGAGTACAAACAAGTTTCCATACCATATGTCAACTCTAAATCACACCGAGTACAAACAAGTTTCCATACCATATGTCAAGCTCTAAATCACACCGAGTACAAACAAGTTTCCATACCATATGTCAACTCTAAATCACACCGAGTACAAACAAGTTTCCATTCCATTTATCAAGCTCTAAATCGTCCCGAGTACAAACAAGTTTCCATACCATTCATCAAGCTCTAAATCGCATCGAGCACAGACAAGTCTCTATACCATATATCATGCTCTAAATCGCACCGAGTGCAGACAAGTCTTCATACCATACGTCAAGCTCTAAATTGTCCCGAGTGCCGACATGTCGACACCTGACAAAGATCATGACTTTGGACATACAAGAAGTGACAGAGGCAATACATGCATTAAAAAATGGTAAATCTACTGGATTAGATTGCATTTCAAACGAAATGCTCAAATGTAGTGAGTTAATTTTGCTTCCATGTTATGTAAAACTATTTAATATTATATCATGCACTGGTTTTTATCCAAAACATTGGAAAACAGGGTATATTATACCAATATTTAAATCAGGTTCAAAATATGACCCTTCTGATTATACAGGTATTGCTATTATAAGTTGTATTGGAAAGTTGTTTAATTCCATTCTTAATAATAGATTTGATAGTTATTTGACTAAGTTTAATGTAATTTCTGAATCACAGATTGGTTTTCAGAAAAAATCAAGAACAGTAGATCATATGTTTATTTTGAGGACCCTAATTGAAAAGTGTATAGCAAACAAAACTTACTTATACACATGTTTTGTAGATTTTAGGAAAGCTTTTGATTCTGTAGTTCATGAAGCCTTGTTGTTAAAACTCCAAAACATTGGGATAGGGGGTTATTTTTATAATATTATTAAGAACATGTATAATAATAATTGTTTACAAGTAAGATTAAATGATAAATTAACAGATAAACTTAAAGCTAACATTGGAGTTAGACAAGGGGATAATCTAAGTCCCAATCTTTTCAAGATATTTGTCAATGATTTGCCGTGTATTTTTGATGATTACTGTGTACCAGCTGAAATAGGAAGTACAAAACTTAATTGTTTAATGTATGCCGATGATGTTGTGATTCTTTCTACTAGTCAAACAGGTTTGAGTAGATGTTTAAATAAATTAGAAGAATATTGTAAAAGTTGGTGTATTCAGATTAATCTTAAGAAAACAAAAAATGTAATTTTTAACAAAGGTGGTAAAATGATTAAAAGTAACTTTTATTTTAATGGTGAACCAATTGAGAATGTTAGAAATTATAAATATCTAGGTGTTATTTTTTCTGCTTCTGGAAGTTTTTCTACGGCTAGATATGATTTGTATCAAAGGGGATTAAAAGCTTTTTTCAAGTTAAAAAGTACTTTCGGTGAAAACATCCCAAAAATTGATAGTTGTTTACATATCTTTGACCATACAATAAAGCCAATTTTAACATATGGCTCAGAAATTTGGGGAACTTGTAATTTTAATTTTTCAAAATGTCAAACAAACAGCCCCTTTGAAATTGAGAAAAAATTTAGTAAGTTTGATTGCGAGAACTTAAGTTTAAAGTTCTACAAATACATTCTCGGGGTAAATAAAAAGTCATGTAATTTAGCTGTTATGGGAGAGTTAGGTCGTACTCCATTGCATATTGAAATCATTTGTTCTATTCTTAAATTTTTACAAAGAATTAATAGTTTAGAAAAGGATCATTTGTTAAAACAAGCCCTATTCACAAGTATTGACACTCACAAATGTAATAAGTCATCTTGGTATTCTAATATTGTATATATTTTAAGATGTATTGATGTTGATATGGAAAGTTTTGACATTGAAAAAGTTAAAAATATTTTGATTAGTAGATATAGGATTTACTGGAAAAATACTATAGAAGATAATGCAAATGTTAAAAAAGGAAAATTGCGTACTTATTTTAAATTTAAAAACATCTTCAAAAGGGAAGCATATTTATGTCAAGTTAATAAATTTCAGTATCGAAAAAGCTTAACTCAATTTAGAATCAGTGCTCATCAGTTAGCTATTGAGAAAGGAAGATATAAAAAAATCGATAAAGATAAAAGATTTTGTGGGCAGTGTAAAATATGCAGGTTGAAGACGAGTTTCATTTTTTAATGGAATGCACTGCTTATGAAAAGGAACGGAATTGTATTCTTAATGAAGTATGCATTCAATGTAAAAACTTCCCTTTTATTTCAAAGTATGAACAATTTATTTGGTTAATGTCATGTGAGTCTGAAAATGTTAATATGTCAGTGTCAAGATTTATAAGTACTTGTTTTGAAATAAGAGAAAATTTGCATTCCGGTAACTAACTAAATATACATGTAGTAGTGCTGTTACAGTAGTTTATTTATTTTTATGTATTAGAGAGGGTTAATATTCTATTTTATTTATTTTCAAACACCATCTGGTATGGAGTATAGTTATTTAATCATTTATTTTTAATGTAATATATCTAAAAAATTACTGTATAATTAATACTATATATATATGTATATGCTCGGAAACGGGCCCTTTAATTGGATTCAATAAATATTCTTATTCTTATTCTTATTTAACATTTTACAGGATCAGATTACTAGTGGTTTCGTTGTCATGTATTGACAGTTCCTTTATGATATTAGAAGAAATATTACAGTTCCCGACGAGATAAAGGGTATAGAATATGTGTTCCAACAGGAACAGATATTTTCGAATTGTTAATAACAAAGTTTTCGAAGGAATTTCTGTTGGGAGGAACACATATACGTTGACATATTACCGTATCAAGCAGTGCTCTGAGTTAATCATGCATTCATATGGAGTATATATCTACCAGTTGATACGATACTCCAGGGCTTGTATTTCCTATCATGACTTCCTTGATAGTGGGTTGCTGCTAACAAGGAAGCTATATCAATCCAAGAGTTCCAAGTGGTAAAGTTGAAATTAACCCTTTGTAAATTTTACGGACGCCATCACGAGTTGGTTGACCGTTATTGAATATCTGTTTCACAGATGAAGACGAATATGTTCCAATTGCCGTAATCACAATCCCGTCCTTTTCCACGAATGTGACTAATCACAAGGTTTGCACTTACATGATCTACATGTAGAGCAGGATCTGCCTAGTTCCGGATCACCTGAGATCACCCCCGGTTTTGATGGGGTTCGGGTTGCTCTTTAGTTTTCTATGTTGTGTTTTTGTGTACTGTTGTTTGTCTTTTGGTCTTTTTCTTTTTTGTCATGGCGTCCCTTTGGTATCTTTCGCATCTCTCTTACATTCAAATATTGGCTGCTGTACTTCTTATAAGGTATTAAACAGCATTGTCATGAGCGGTTAAAACATCATGACCTCGTGCAATAACTATAGAAAAATATTAGCAGAGTATGAAAAAAATAATAATGCGTTGTTATTTACTTAAAGATATAAGTCAGCGTACAATTTTAACCCAATGAAATACAAGAAGCAAGAATCTTACATCCAAGGTATAATTGTACATCAATAAGTCTGTTAAACCAAAGAGAAAGATCAGAAGGACTAATGTATAATATCGATCATTGGAAACTATTCTTTTGAATTATAAATTTTTATTTAGTCTCACAATTATTTTTCATAGTTTGTGTCGCGAATTCCCGACAATCAAACGTATGTATGCATTTGTAAATGAAAATAATGGTAATTATAGTCAATGAGCCAGTAAGTCTACAACCGAATGTGCATAGGCGGATCCAAGGGGGGCGCCCCCCCCCCCTTTGTGGAAAAAATTTGGTTGATTGTATAGGGTATAGGGAATCACTGCAGCATGAGTGTAGCGGGCTCCCTCTTATGGCAGTCAGTGCCTCCCCCCCCCCCCCCCTTATAAAAAGTTCTGGATCCGCCACTGATGTGACTGAAATAACTAGTACTGTTACAAATAAAACACGAACAGATTTGACTGAAATAACTAGTACTGTTACAAATAAAACACGAACAGATTTCATGAGAGTTCTTTATAAAAGATACAAATGTAAGCTATAACAATTACTATATAGCGATTTAACAGAACACTGACCAGCAGTGTATCAACAAGATAACATTATCAAAGATTGTTCATTTAGAAGAACACTAACTACACATGTAGCAGTGTATATTTACAAAATAACATTATAAAAGAGTGCTCCTTTAGAAGAACACTGACTAGCAGTGTACTAACAAAAAAACATTATCAAAGATTGTTCCTTTAGAAGAACACTGACTAGCAGTGTACCTACAAAATAACATTATCAGAGATTGTTCCTTTAGAAGAACACTGACTAGCAGTGTATCAACAACATAACATTATCAAAGATTGTTCCTTTAGAAGAACACTGACTAGCAGTGTACCAACAACATAACATTATCAAAGATTGTTCCTTTAGAAGAACACTAACTACACATGTAGGAGTGTATATTTACAAATAACGATTTCAAAGAATGTTCCTTTAGAAAAACACTGGCTACACATGTAGCAGTGTATTAACAAAATAACATAATCTCAAAGATTATTCCTTTAGAAAAACACTGGTTACACACGTAGCAGTGTATCAACAAAATAACACTATCAAAGATTTTTCGTTTAGAGAAAATACACTGGCTACACATGTAGCAGTGATTTAACAAAATAACATGATAAAAAATTCATTTAGAAGAACACTGGCTAGCAGTGTATCAAAAAAATAACATAATAGATGGCCCATTTCAAAACTCAAAATCAAACTTGTAGTTCACAAAAATGTTTGACAAATTAAACTTCAAAAACAACTTCATGCTGATTTTCAAAGATTAAGGCGAAGTTTACGTATTTGGCCTTTAAGAGTCAACATACAGTACTTTTTGGCGCTTTTTATATACATTATGTACATTTATAATCTTTGTAATTGGCTGTATTTCTGAAAGTATAAATGATACATGATAAAGTCATGTGTTCCATACTCAGATTCAGTTCAAGAAGATCTAAATGCATACACGGACTGTTGGACAGTTGTCTCATTAACATAATACCGTATCTCCTTATTTTATATACTTAGTATACATGTATGTACCATTTCATAAAAATCTGAAATATCTCCCAATGACGTATACTTCGCCTTAATCACGAAATAAACTAACATATATTAAAGGTTTAAAATGTATTCAAACATACATATGGTCCAATTGATTTCGTTTTGATCAATTGAAAATGCATGTGGTCAATCTTCCGACAAAATATAAATAAATATTACGTTTGAAAATTATGCATAGTCAATATAATCTGGTCTTTGGTCCATTTGTTAAAGATATATGACTAATGCATTATTAAACTTGTTCCACACTTATTATAATTTTCAACATAAACATTATTTCAGTATCACATTAAAACACTCAGACATTCATTTTCTCTCTAAAGGGACGATCGGATACACATTATTTATGGCTAGTCCACTCCGAATTGAATACTTGCTCTTTCTGAACCTAACGCAATTATCATTTAATTTGTTTTTATCTAAAATGAACATTTCAGCAAGCGATACTGAGAGGAAAGCATATTTTAGATTTACTTCTACAATACTACTGTTTTCAGGAGCGAGAAATAATTTTTCAACACCCAAAAAATTGAACATTTCTGCAAATTGTGGGGCAAGCGATGACATTTTAAAAATGAAACTGCTGATTTCATTTAACTTGAAGGGCGCGGTAATTCAGAAAGTCAACAGGGAATGGCGGTAACAACAAATTAAGGTTTCCAAAGCGAGCAAGCGAATCCGAAATACACTAAATCAATTTGGAGTGGCCTTCACGTGAGTATCGGACATTTGTAATGGACAATGGAACATGGTTCAAATCCAGCTCAAATCGTTGATAGAGGCCATCTAAAACTAGCAGCGATGTGATGTAATGCTTCGTGTCAAAAGGCTCAATGTGACTTTGGGACGAAGAACAGCAATATAAGCGCTGTTCTTTTGTTTGTTTTGTGTTTTCATATGCGCGTAGTGGTTTTGTGTCATGAATTAATACATCATATCTTTTCTTTTTTTTTTTATCAATATCAACGATTTTCTTCCTGTTTCTAAAACTAAGACAAATTTATATTTTCTGGCTAGGTTTATATGATATTGTATATATCTACCTACATCATAACAGTTACAGGTGTTGTCATCTTTAGGCTGGAATAAAAATGCGTAATACGATAAAGTAAATTGTCTCCCTCGTATTAACCAATCAAAATCTGGCATTTTGACATGAAGTATAACACATATTGTTTTCGTAACATCTGATAAAAGTTAGATCATTATTAAAACAACATACAAATATCCCCTTACTTACCAGGCTATAATAATTACAACAGTCACACACACACACACACACACACACACTCATTAAAACCTTAAAGCTGCATTGTCAGGTACACAAGGCATATTTATATCACATAAACTAACAGACAGTGGGTTGGGGTCATTCGGTGAGTACGGTGGTGGAGGGGAAGACGGTAGTCTCTCAATGACGTCATGTCCGTTATATGGCGGTGGTTCTGTGGGTCCAGAGTATATCGGTAAGATAATGCTTAGCGGGATATCGGTATCTGTAGTTTCTAACTCTTGAAGAGATGGATTAGGTGGACTATCCCCGTGGCTTACTCTGTCTGTTCGAATCACATTTTGCCGCCGCCTCGCAATTTCACGTCTCCCTTCTTCTGAAGTTACATCCGGGTTAATAGTTCGACTTCCCGGTCGACAAGAACATCGTCTAGAAGACACACACAAACAAATAAGCACAACACTTCCGGTAAGCAAAACTAAACCACCTATTATTCCACCGACGATTTGTGTTGTTAGAGAATGTTTTTTTGTTTTATCGTCTTCCTTGTCTCCCTTGTCACAGGCCCAACGTAAATCATCTGAAAAAATAAGAGAAATATGACGTGTTTAATAAAAGGGACACCGAACGTTCATCTTCCTCGTCACAGGCCCCACGTAAATCATCTGAAAAAATAAGAGAAATGTGACGTGTTTAATCAAAAGGGCGCTGAACGTTTATCTCCCTTGTCACAGGCCCCACGTAAATCATCTGAAAAAAATAAGAGAAATATGACGTGTTTAATAAAAAGGGCGCCGAACATGCATCTTCCTTGCCACAGGCCTTACGTAAATAATCTGAAAAAATAATAGAAATATGATGTGTTTAATAAAAAGAGACGTTCATCTCCCTTGTCACATTCCACATGTAAATCATCAGAAAAAATATCAGAAATATGACGTGTTTAATAAAAAGGGCGCCGAACGTTCATCTTCCTTGACACAGGCCTTACGTAAATAATCTGAAAAAAATAACAGAAATATGATGTGTTTAATCAAAAGAGACGTTCATCTCCCTTACCACAGGCCTCATGTAAATAATCTGGAGAAATAACAGAAATATGAAGTGTTTAATAAAAAGGGCGCCGAACGTTCATCAGAACATAAAAAAAAATATTACTTACATGGATGAATATGAGATTATTGATGAACCAATGTAGATAATATCGGAATTTTATTTTAATTGTTATCTGTCCAAAAGAAAAATGTGTTTTTTAAGTTTATGAATTACATTAAATAATAGAAAATCACTACTTTTTTGCTGTAATTTTGCGAATTTTATTTTACGGATGTAACATTCATTTTTACCTTAAGATAGTCCTGCTTATGTTTCACTCTTGTAAACAACTATTTCCTGCATTGTCCTGCGTTTTGTTTAACATAATTTATTTTTTTATTTCCAATTATAACCAAGTGTCAGGATATTCATTTTTAGCTCACCTGGCCCAATGGGCCAAGTGAGCTTTTCTCATTACTTGGCGTCCGTCGTCCGTCGTCCGTTAACTATTACAAAAATCTTCTCCTCTGAAACTACTGGGCCAAATTTAACCAAACTTGGCCACAATCATCATACGGGTATCCAGTTTAAAAATTGTGTCCGATAACCCCGCCTGCAAACCAACATGGTTGACATGGCTATAAATAGAACACAGGGGTAAAATGCAGTTTTTGGCTTATATCTCTGAAACTAAAGCATTTAGAGCAAATCTGACATTGGTAAAATGTACATCAGGTTTAGATCTATCTGAATTGCTGCCCCTGAGTTGGTAATTTTTATGAAATTTTGCAGTTTTTGGTTATTATCTTAAATATTATTATAAATAGAGATAAACTGTAAAACAGCAATTATGTTCAGCAAAGTACGATCTACAAATACGTCAAATGACCAAAATTGTCAATTGACCCCTTAAGGAGTTATTGCCCTTTATGGTCAATTTTTAACAATTTTTTTCGTAAATTTTTGTAATCTTTTACAAAAATCTTCTCCACTTAATCTATTGGGCCAAATAGAATTAAAATTAGCCACAATTTTTAATGGGGTGTCTTGATTGAAAAATGTATCCGATGACCCTGCAATCCAACCAAAATGGCCGCCATGGCTAAAAATAGAACATAGGGATTTACTATAGAAGTCCAAGGGAAAATGGTAAAAAAAAACAATTTCAAATGGTCACAGCTTGAAAACTAATTTAAATAATGATAAAGGGTCTTCAGTAACTATTGCAAGACTAGTTATACTAGTGGGATGACCTGCTTTCAATTTAACTACTGGGCCAAATTAAACCAAACTTGGCCTCAATCATTATAAGGGTATCTGATACTATTTATTATGATTTTAACCTTATTTTACATGATTTCCAAAACCACAGTAGATACAGGTGAGCGACACAGGCTCTTGGGAGCCTCTAGTTGAAATACCTCCCCCCCCCCCCCCCCAAACCGAACTTAGTATCATATGACTATCCTCCAACAACAACAGAAACACTAACCTTTTTCTCCGGATACGTAGGTAAATGTGAAGCCTTCATATTCTACGTCTTTGTCAGAATAAAATTCAAAATATAAGACACCATCCTGACTTATGATATCGTCTGGAGCTGTAGGTCCACAGTATGTATCGATCGGTCTACTTTTATTATCCTCACCTAAAAACACAAAAGAAATCTATCCAGTGATGTGTATCTTCCTCATCAATAAACACAAAAACAATCTATAAATATATTATACTGGAAAGAAATATCTGGGTTTATCATGCAATTTGATTGGTTGCCTTGACAGGGCATATAAGGCCATATAACCTGTGAACAAAATCGAAGATCAGAACGGTATATAATATATATATATATATAATATAATATTATTAATTCGTATATTTTAACTAATTTGATTCGTTCAGGGATAGTCACATGTTAAACTATATTTTCGAAGGTAGACAGAAAACGGCGGATAGCAAAAAGCATATTGCATAGCAAAAAGCATATTGCACGGTTATTTTTAGAATATCTAAAAACCGATATACTTTGTGACGTCATGTAATAAATTTCATGATATTGTTAAAAGTTTTATTAAAAAATATCTTTGATCGATAATTTGAAGAAAAAAAATCTTCAAATACATAGGATGTTAAAAAACAAACATAAAAAAATATATGAAATAACAACTAATATGTTGTTATTGTCTAGGAGACAATATGATATCTATAAATTTCCAACAAAATCAAACGACGATTTTCATACAAATATGGTCGGAAATTAATAATATAACAATTATAGCCTATGTATGAGGTCAATACAGGATATATCGACCCAAAGAAGTATATCGACCTCGGACTTCGTCCTCAGTCAATATACTTCCTTCATGTCAATATATCCTTGTATCGACCTCATACCAAGGCTATAATTGTATAATATAATAGTTGTTCGGCCTTCACAGGGGATATGGGCTCACATTCCCTGTCAGTGCCTTATATCCACTTCAGCTGACGGATCAGGAAATATAAAACACTGACAGGGAATATGAGCCTATATCCCATGTGAAGATCCCGAATAAAATATGATGTATCTACCATGTGTGTCCTTACCTACAGGTAGCCTAAAAACTAGCATGCAATATGTTTCTGGTACTAACTTCATCAGGTATGATCAAATACAATTAACCATTGGAAACATCAGCAACAAGAGAAATAAATTTCACACCGAAAGGTAAATAATACTCATACTCAGCCTTCGGCTGTTTTCTGCTCTTTGGTCGGGTTGTTGTCTCTTTGACATATTCCCCATTTCCATTCTCAATTTTAGAAGAGAAATAAATCAAATTCCGTTTAATATATAGTATACACACCGTCGTATATAATAAGTTTGTCGTGATCACAATATTGATGAGGTTCCAACATAAAACTTTCAAAGCAAATCTTCACTTCGTTTTTTGGTTTATCAGCTCGTATCTGCCAACAATGAAAAAAGTCCCTAAAATAGAAAAAGACACTATAGATGTTATTATTATTGTACTCCTGTGTCTGCATATAAAACGTGCCTTTGATATCAACAACGATTTCATATTAAATCAAGGAGTAATTTTACTACTTTGGTTATAACATGTATTATAATCAAACAATGTACTCTTAATGGAATAAAAGAACAGAGTTCCAATGTCTCCCGCGTTGCACATATTTTATATTTCCGAGGGGCATAACTCTTTTAAAAAAAGTCGATTGTCCACCATTATAGAATTGTCCGAGATATTGCTGATATTAACCTATAGTATAAGTTTTTTAAAAATCTGGCAAGAATTGTACCAGTGAGAGCGCTAACGAGACCATTTTCCATAAATTTAATATTTCCAAGGGGCATAACTCTTTTTAAAAAAAAGTCGATCGTCCACCATTGTAGAACTTGTCCGAGATATTGCTGATTTTAACCTATAGTATAAGTTTTATAAAAATCTGGCAAGAATTGTACCCGTGAGAGCGCTAACGAGGCCATTCTCCATAAAATTAATATTTCCAAGGGTCATAACTCTTTTAAAAAAAAAGTCGATCGTCCACCATTATAGAACTTGTCCGAGATATTGCTGATACTAACCTATAGTTTAAGTTTATAAAAATCTGGCAAGAATTGTACCCGTGAGAGCGCTAACAAGACCGGACGGACGGACACACGGACGGACGGACGCCCAGTATTTCCATTCCCCCGCAATGCGTTACGCGGGGGACAAACATATCAAAAGAAAAAGATTATCAACGGCTAATTTTATGGACTATGGTCGGATATAACCATAATCCATAAACGTTTTACCAATCCGTATCATAATCGTATAACCAATAAAAAAGCGGAAAAGGGGAGACAATTATTCGCAATTTACCAATCCGTATCATAATCGTATAACCAAGGATTTGTATATTAAGACTTACTTACTTTACAAATCCTTGGTATAACCAATAAAAAAGCGGTAAAAAGGGAGACACTTATTCGTAACTCATTTGCAAAGATTTTCGAAAAGTGCCGGCCCTCACACGACTTGTAGTCACACATGAGTATAATTAACTTCCGGTAGCATTCGACATTGCGGTAGCTTTTAATTTAGCAACTCTGTAACACAAAAGATACAATGAAATATAAAATGTGTTCAAATGGGCATTAGCTACGAGATATAAAAAAAATATGATGTTTTTTGTTCAATCATTAATGAAAGTGATATAGTGAAATAATAATTCGCTTTTAGCAGCTAAGTTTGTTCAATTTTGTCAAAACAAGCTAAGAATCATCGCTGATGAATTATTCACTTGCAAGTGAACAATTCGACCTCATTGAATCCGTATTCATGTGACCTTCAATTTAACCCCTTAGCTGGAGATGTGTTACGCGTGTATTCATATATTAAAAGGAAAAGAATGTCAACATTGAAAGTGAAAAAAGGATGAACCATTTGGTTGACTGATTCGATCCACAAAAAACATTCTTATACAGGTAAAAACGATGATAAACATTCTTTTTAACATACAATGTGAAATCAAACAGACCTAGAAAAATCCAATTGCACGTGGTCGCTATATCTGTTTATATTTATATTTATGGTTTGATTTTGTTCACAGGGTATATGGGCTCATATGCCCTGTCAAGGCAACCAATCGAGGTCATCTCGATGGTTAATTAGATGACGTCTAGACAAAAAATACACACGAAATGTTGATACATATTATCGAGTCCATGCATTGTTAATTGTTTATTTTAGACTTTTTGTAATTGGATGTATGTTTTAGCATGTTATAAATCAAATATGAGAATTTGAGTCAAATCGATGAGCATGAATTTGACAGCTTATGCCCCTTTAAGAAGCTATGTTTAAGTATATATTATACTTAAGTAAAATTTGGACCTTGATCGACGTTTAGTAATGCTGTGTTTTTAAACCAATATATACATCACCATTTGTAAATACATTTAACTTACTTTGGATAAGTACTACCATGTACTTGTGGTAATGTAAAACTTGTGGCATATGGTTTGGCTATATAATATTCACACTTCTGCTTTTTCCAACACATGGCTATATATTAAAGAAAAATAATACATCACATTACATGAGCATAAAAATTTATAAAACCTAGTTTATTATATAGAGGTTTTTAAAGCCAGTTGAAAAATATATCAGGCATATGAAGTACAATAAAATGTAATACATTAAAGCGAGGATTGACACAACAAATTTATTTGAGATATCACATATTTTATTTTTGGCAAAGAAAAGCTATAAAGTGTGAGCTTTGTCCAGTATATGAATTTAAAGCTAGGGATTCTATTGGTGCGATTTGAAGAAGCACCAAATTGGATTATAAAGGTTTCTACTGTATAATTCTTTAAAAATGAGGTGATTGGCTACCATGGCAATGCTAATAACTGTATTTTTTATATGGACCATTATGTTTCTACATGACTGAGCATTCATTTTGCAAAGTTTCATGAAAATCTATTGCCACAGGTTTCCATAAAATTTTGATACTTACATACATGTAGAATGGCTCGTAAATACATTTAAACAATTCTATTAAAACAGATCAACAATGGATTCCTCCGTAGACATAACTATGACAACAACCAACTCACCAATGGATTCCTTCGTATACATTACTATGACAGCATATCACCATTGGACCCCGTAGACATTACTATAACAGCATATCACCATTGGACCCCGTAGACATTACTTTGACAATAAGTCACTAATGAAGCATCTTTTCATGCATTGCTATGAGAACCTATCACTATTAGACCCCTTTGTAGACATAACTAAGATAATTGTTCCCCAATTGACCCCTCGTAGACATTACACAAATAGACCCCTAGCTCCGTAGACATTACTTTGACATCAGATCACCAAATGGTCCCATTTACATAGTGATTTTTTTTACGTGATAAAATGTACCGTAATGTATTTATCTTTCCAACATGTGCCTTACATTTATTTACCCTGTATTCAATCAGACCTTTTCTGAACACGTGTCTTACATTTACACTGTATGCAATCAGAAATAATCCCAACACGTTCCATTCATTGACCCCGTATTTAATCATACTGGATCCCAATACTTGCTTTTCCTTACCCTATATTCAATCAGACTGCCTTACATTAACTTTGTATTCGATCAGACTTGTTCCCAACAACTGCCTTACTTTTACCCAGTATACTATTCAAACGGACTTGTTCCGAACATGTGCCTTACATTTACCCTGTATTTTATCATACTTGTTCCGAACATATGCCTTACATTTACCCTGTATTCAAACAGACTTGTTCCGAACATATGCCTTACATTTACCTTGTATTCAAACAGACTTGTTCCGAACATGTGCCTTACATTTACCTTGTATTTTATCATACTTGTTCCGAACATATGCCTTACATTTACCCTGTATTCAAACAGACTTGTTCCGAACATGTGCCTTACATTTACACTGAGTGTATTCAAACAGACTTGTTCCGTGCATGTCCAAAGTGTCTTATGTTTACCCTGTATTCAAACAGACTTGTTCCGTGCATGTCCAAAGTGTCTTATGTTTACCCTGTATTTTATCAGACTTGTTCCGAACATGTGCCTTACCTTCACCTTGTATTGAATCATACTTGTTCTGAACATATGTCTTACGTTTATCCTGTATTCAATCAGACTTGTTCCGAACATGTGCCTTACCTTCACCTTGTATTCAATCAGACTTGTTCTGAGCATATGTCTTACGTTTATCCTGTATTCAATCAGACTTGTTCTGAGCATATGTCTTACGTTTATCCTGTATTCAATCAGACTTGTTCTGAACATATGTCTTACGTTTATCCTGTATTCAATCAGACTTGTTCTGAGCATATGTCTTACGTTTATCCTGTATTCAATCAGACTTGTTCTGAACATATGTCTTACGTTTATCCTGTATTCAATCAGACTTGTTCTGAGCATATGTCTTACGTTTATCCTGTATTCAATCATACTTGTTCTGAGCATATGTCTTACGTTTATCCTGTATTCAATCATACTTGTTCTGAGCATATGTCTTACTTTTATCCTGTATTCAATCATACTTGTTCTGAGCATATGTCTTACGTTTATCCTGTATTCAATCAGAAATAATCCTTATACGTGCCATTCATTGACCCAGTATTTAATCATACTGGATTCCAATACTTGCTTTTTCTTACCCTGTATTCAACCAGAATGGATTCCAACTCGTGCCATTCATTGACCGTGTATTTAATCATACAGGATCCCAACACGTTCTTTACATTTACGAATATGCGTTTACTTTTCTACATTGGCTAGAGGTATAGGGGGAGGGTTGAGATCTCATAAACATGTTTAACCCCGCCGCATTTTTGCGCCTGTCCCAAGTCAGGAGCCTCTAGCCTTTGTTAGTCTTGTATTATTTTTAATTTTAGTTTCTTGTGTACAATTTGGAGTTTAGTATGGCGTTCATTATCACTGAACTAGTATATATATTTGTTTAGGGGCCAGCTGAAGGACGCCTCCGGGTGCGGGAATTTCTCGCTGCATTGAAGACCTGTTGGTGGCCTTCTGCTGTTGTCTGTTCTGTGGTCGGGTTGTTGTCTCTTTGACACATTCCCCATTTCCATTCTCAATTTTACTATAGGCAAAAATACAACGTTTGACCTATTTGTTTTCGTAGACCATCTGAAATGTTTGCCCTATTCATACGTAAATTCAGACCAAGATATCTATTATATAAACTGGTGTATTGTTTTTGTATCACTACAAACCAGTAAAAGTCTGAAATGGCCTATATCTGTACTCGACTGTACTGATTTTTACTCGACCAGTCTGAATTGGTCTGAATTTTACTGGACATTACTCGACCCCAGTCTTAACCATACTCGACTGTACTGATTTGTACTTGACGCTTATCTTTGCCATTGAAAATAGTCTGAACTATTACTCGACCAGTCTGAAACAGTCTTAATCCATTCTCGACCTGTACTCGACCTATTTTTTCAGTCTAAACCATACTCGACCAAAGGTCTGAACAATACTCGACCAGTCTGAACCATACTTGACCAAATAACCTCTACTTTTTTTAAAAATTTTAACAGTTAAAATAAATTTCTTTTTAACTGACATGAAAACAGCCACAATAAAATAAAGATATGTATAAAAACAGATTTTTACATCCTTACATGATTCTCAGATTTATCAAATAGAGATAGTTAAATCAAATTATCTTATATAATAATTTAATTATATTAATTTCAAAGTTTTAGAGTTTTGTTAAAAAAAGATTTTCTTTTACCTAAAAGTCACACCTATACTGAGGGTAATTAAACCTTATTAAGGTGCTTCTTGTTTGGCATATTTTTTTTTTTTTTTTTTTAAACTTAATTTTCCTAAATTCCTAAATAAAAACTACATAGGTTTCATGGTTACATACAATAGTTATATAATTATTTTTTTAATGAGGTAACAACAGACAACAAAATCACTGAAATTGTTTAACCTTAATATATTTGAAATATATCTATTATTATAATTTGGGATATTATATTATATATAATATATATATAAAAGGGATAAAAAATTAAAGAAATTAATAAAATTGTTCTTCTGATTAGTGGTGAAGTATAAAGTAATACCTCCTGCTTGGGGCAAACTCATTAAAAAGGTCACAACCTTGTCAGAGAGTATTAAATTCTAAATAACATTCATTCAAAATTGCAACATCCTGTTTAACTAAAATCGCAAGGCCTTTTGAATTCACTAGATAAGTAATACACGAGTTTAAGAAAAATAGGGTTTTCTTTTTACCTGTAAAACACACATGTACTGAGGTAATTAAACCTTATTAAAGTGCTTCTTGTATGTCATGTCTTTAATTTTGACAAAAATTATTTAATTTAATTGAAATAAATTTTTACTGTAACTATGGAACACATTTCCTTTTAAAAAGGTTATCAAGGATTGCTATGGAAGTTCTATTATCATGATTATATTAAATTCTTGATTTAACAAAACAAAGGTGTCATTTTTAAAATTTTTAAAATTTATTAAGTTGCTTTATATACTTTTTTATATATATTTTAATAAAAAAAATGTTCACTGCATTATTAACTAAACTCAACTGACACCATAAATCTATACTAGGCTTAAGTTAATGGTGAAAATTGTCCAGTAACCATAAAATATAACTGACCATTCAAAAAATTTTGAATAACATTGAAAATATTAGTCACAATTCAGTTTTGAGATTATTTGATCAGCTTGTTTTATTTTTATTTTAAAGTTGATATATATATATATATATGCAAGTGTTGATGAATATGCTGTTGAAGTTCTATTATGTTTATTGTGAAATTTTGGTTTCAATGCCATATTGAATACATTTTTAATTTCAAATTTTTGTTCAAATTTCTAGCCAGGGGAAATAGCTGTTGTAAAAAACTGTTCCTAAATTGATGAAATACAATAGATAGATACCAAAAAATAGGTCTATGTTGGTTTAGACTTGGTCGAGTATGGTTCAGACTAGGTCGAGTATGGTTCAGACTAGGTCGAGCATGGTTCAGACTAGGTCGAGCATGGTTCAGACGCGTATAAAATGCCGGTTAAGTACAGGTCAAGTAAAGGTCGAGTACAAGTTCAGACTGTTAAGTAGGTTCAGACTACAGTCGAGTATTATCAAGTAAATTTCAGACCAATTCAGACTGGTCGAGTAAAAATCAGTACAGTCGAGTACAGATATAGGCCATTTCAGACTTTAACTGGTTTGTAGTGTATGTTACAGAAATATATTCGGGCTAGTTATGACAGTATTAGTTAGATTTTTGTGTAAGAGATAATAATGTGTCAATGTGTTCTACAATAGCGTGATACACCTTTGCAGTATGGTCAGAGTATTTCCTTCATGTTGACGTCTTCATTGTGACTTTGAGATGCAGAACCGTAATAAAAGCACTGTTCCTTTGCTTTGTTTTTTTTTATGTGCTCGTGGTTATTTCATGTCAAAGATGATTACATCAGATTCTTTCTTTTCCATTACCACAAGGACAAGAATCTCGACTGATGTCAAAGTACTGGCAGTGACTAAAAGCTAGTTCTAAGACCAATTGAGACTAATGTTTATTTTACTATTCTCTTGTCAGTTTGACATTTGATCATTAATAGATTTTCTTAGGAATATTCCAAAATTTTCTTTTAGTCTCATCATTTTTCAATGTATATCTATTAATATGCGCACTCACCTTGCATTGTATAAACAGACAATATTACCAAAACCGCAATAACAATCCTCTTTATGTCGTATCCATCTTTGGCCATACCATCTGTAATAAATACACTCTATCATGTAAACTGTCCATCTATATCACGTTGACATGCATTTGATTGATTGGGAGGGCAGCACGTTTACTGTGTTTTATTGCTTAAAGCTAACAGTAATATGACAAACAATATGCAATAGTTTTTGCAGAACTAGCAACTGCTGAACTATGTTAAGGAATACTAGCCGATCTTAGATATACAGGCCGAGCTTAGGAACGCTGGCCGATCTTAGTAATTTTTGTCGATCTTACGAATGCTGGCCGATATCAAGAATGCTCATTTGACAGAATTTTCTCCATTTCCAATTTGACCAGGTTTGCACGATCACACATTGCTAATTGAATACATACATTGTATAACTAAAGGCAGATTGTTAGGATCTTATTCCTCTTCTTTATTCACACTAGATAAGTGATGCTCGCCATTCTTTATTCACACTAGATAAGTGATGCTCGCCATTCTTTATTCACACTAGATAAGTGATATTCGTCATTCTTTATTCACACTAGATAAGTGATGCTCGCCAATCTTTATTCACACTAGATAAGTGGTGCTCGTCATTCTTTATTCACACTAGATAAGTGGTTTCACACTAGATAAGTGGTGCTCGTTATTCTTTATTCACACTAGATAAGTGATGCTCGCCAATGAACAAAACTGTCCATGTTTGTAGCTGTCTTTCAAAAGGGTCCTGACACCTTTGTCGTTAAGACACAGGATTCGTTAACATAGTTTTATTAGATTGTGTCATTATTTTTACCTTACCATTGTGACTTGTTCCTTGTCTTTATAATTCGTGAATAAAATTCTGCTTTGTTTTAATTACATGTATATATGCACTACGTGTATAACATGTATAAATACACTACTTAAACAAGTACCTAGACATTTTATATTTATCGGTAATATATCAAACAAACAGTTTAAAAATTGGGCTTTAAATCTCTGTAGGTATATAAGGTTGGATTAACATATATCGTGACAGAATGATCTATATATATATATATAATTCAATATTTGATATTGCCAGCCGTTCTAAATTATTATAGTTGTACTAGACCGTAAACATTTGACCTTCACGTAGCTTACTACTGATATGTTCTATTTTTTAATAAAATATTTACACTCTGAAAAAAAAAACACAATGACAAACAGCTTAACGTGGTTTATCCAATGGTGAACAGGTTACCATGGTAGTATTGTATTTGTGGGATTCGAGTTACTCAATCTTTGATAGTATCCTTTGTTGTGGTTTGTGGATTGGTGTTAGTCTGTTCGATTTTTAGGGTTGTTTTTTTGTTGTCGTGATGTTCTGTCTTATAATAAGTGATAGGAATAAGCCGCTGGATGTCTTGTACTGAGAGGTAGGAATGAGCCGCTGGATGTCTTGTACTGAGTGGTAGGAATGGGCCGCTGGATGTCTTGTACTGAGTGATAGGAATGAGCCACTGTAATATGGCACTATTTCAAGTTCATAATACATGTATATAATAAGGGCGAGAAATGACAAGGTTCACTTTTGCCAAAAAATGGCCTTGAATTTCAACTTTATAATTAATTATCAGAAAGGTCACAATTTTCTTCTTGAATGGGACAATTTTAACCCTTTGTTAACCTTCTCCTTTGGATAAATAAATCAACCTTATAAATTTCCACAATAGATCTTATGGATGTTTGCTCTTCATCACTTCATTAAACTATTAAATTTCAATGGATTCGGTTGGTTTCTATTATAACTTCGCAATAGCTTATACTCGGATGTCATCATCAAAAACAGAACATGCAAAAATATAATGAAATTTATGTCTGGTGTCTCACGAGTTACAAAGTAAACATTTTCTATTATTATACTTCATGTCAAAATGCCAGATTTTGATTGGTTAATACGAGGGAGACAATTTACTTTATCCTATGGCAAATATATTGCCCGTCACGGAGACGCTTGCTCAAGTGTGAGCTTTAATAAATACGGTTGATTGTTATGTACAAGACGTCACAGTTTATTACTTTGAATTTGAAATATAATATACAGTAATAACAGAACATTAAGTGTAATAAATTAAATAACACATATCTGAGAGGGTGATAGAGCAGATTGTTACCCCTCGAAAAAAACATTGTAAACCTTGGCTTCGCCTCAATTGACAATGCTTTCTCGGGGTAACAATCTGCTCTTATCACCCTCTCTGCTATGTGTTATTTATATATTGTCTCTTGCAATATTTTACCATCTAATAAGCAATTTATGACTTCCCGTTCTAAACTTACATAAAATATAATACATGTATTGGTAACCATGAGGGTCTTGATGTTTACAGGTTAGAGAATAATGGCCAACATTATTAGGAATATAGAAAAATTAGCAACAATAAATAAAGAATACAGAATAATGGTTTGCAAAGATATAAAGAATAACTTTGTAAAATAAACGAAAAACGAATCAAGTAATACAGTTATGAATACAGAAATGAACAATAAATGTAATAAGGAAATTTTATGATTACAGAAAAGGACGATAAATGTAATAAGGAAATTTTATGATTACAGAAATGAACGATAAATGTAAAAAGGAAATTTTATGATTACAGAAATGAACGATAAATGTAATAAGGAAATTTTATGATTACAGAAATGAACGATAAATGTAATAAGGAAATTTTATGATTACAGATAAATCTTATAGTAAAATCATTTTGATGAGAATTTTACAGTATAAGCGTTATTTCTAAAGATAAAGAAAAATGACCTAAAAATTAGAGAATACAGAATTGATGGACTTCCCATCCAGACCCTAAACCATGGTATTCAGTTTTGAACAGGCTACTATAGTATTCAATTATAAAAGAACAGCGTTCCAAATTCCAATGTCCGCCGCGTTGTACATATTCTATCTACCCAAGCGCAATAACTAAAGTATTTTTTTTTTATATAAATATCTTACAAGAAATTCAGCCATGAGATCGCTAACAATGTTATTTTCCATATATATATATATATATATTTTCCAAGAGACACACTCCTGTATAATAGATTGTCGGCACTTTCGAGACCTTGTTGATATCAACCTTTGATATAAACTTCATAAAAACTCGAGACAAGATATGTAAGTGGTATGGTGCTTACAATGCAATGTTCAATCTTTAAAGAAACATAACTCCTGTAAAAAAATAGATCGGCTCTTGTTTTCATTCTCACCATGACATTGTTGATATAAACCTATGATATAAATTTCCTAACAATAATACAAGATGTAGGTGTGAAAATGCTTACAACGCACAAGATGTAGGTGTGAAAGTGCTTACAACACACAAGATGTAAGTGTGAAATTGCTTACAACACACAAGATGTAGGTGTGAAAGTGCTTACAACACGCAAGATGTGAAAGTGCTTACAACACACAAGATGTAGGTGTGAAATTGCTTACAATACACACAATGTTCTATGTAAATAATATTTCCAAGAGGTATAACTCTTTCTGAAAAAGTTGATCGGAACTGTTTTTCAAAGTTGTCCGAGACATTGCTGATATAAACCTTTGATATAAATTTCATAAATATCTGGCAAGAATTGTACACTTAAGAGCGCTTACAATGAAATTTTCTATGGAGTTTACATACCTAAGGGACATAATTCCTGTATAAAAAATTGATCAGCGTTGATTTTCGAAATTGTCGGAAACATTGCTGATATAAAACTTTGGTATCAATTTCATAACTAAGAATTGTACACTTTAGAGCGCTTAAGAATTACATAGGAATATAACTCCTATTAATTGATTGATTAGATACACGCGACTTCATTTTTTACAAATTTGGAAAACATTTGTCATTTTTGGTTTCCTTTTTTTTTTGAGAAGTCAAAAATGAAATTTCGGAAAATCATCATTTCACAAATGATCTTGTTTATGACTCCAGAAATGTTGTCTCGAAATTTTGCTAAAATACATGTAATAAATTGTAAGAGCAGACACATAGGAAACTTATAGAAATTCACCAATAAGAATGAATAAAAGTAACTGTAGCTGTGGGACAGCAACCCAACAATACAAATAATCCGACATCTAGAGGTAAACATGGAATCTTAAACTGTCTAACTCCAGCCCCCCTCCCAAATAATCCGACATCTAGAGGTAAACATAGAATCTTAAACTGTCTAACTCCAGCCCCCCGATAGCTAGAGATAAACATAGAATCTTAAACTGTCTAACTCCAGCCCCCTCTCAAATAATCCGAAATATAGAGTCAAACATAGAATCTTAAACTGTTTAACTACACCCCCCCCCCCCCCCGACATCAAGAGTTAAACATAGAATCTTAAACTGTCTAACTCCAGCCTCCTCCCCCCCAATAATCCGACATCTAGAGTCAAACATAGAATCTTAAACTGTCTAACTCCAGCCCTCCCACCCTTCCCCAATAATCCGACATCTAGAGGTAAACATAGAATCTTAAACTGTCTAACTCCAGCCCCCCCCCCCCCCCCCCCCAATAATCCGAAATCTGGAGGTAAACATAGAATCTTAAACTGTCGAACTCCAGCCCCCCCCCCCCCCCCCCCCCCGAAATCTAGAGATAAACATAGAATCTTAAACTGTCTAACTCCAGTCCCCCCTTCCCGAAATTTAGAGATAAACGTAGAATCTTAAACTGTCTAACTCCAAACCCCCCTTCCCGAAATTTAGAGATAAACATAGAATCTTAAACTGTCTAACTCCAGTCCCCCCTTCCCGAAATCTAGAGATAAACATAGAATCTTAAACTGTCTAACTCCAGTCCCCCCTTCCCGAAATCTAGAGATAAACATAGAATCTTAAACTGCGATGTTAAGGTGTCTATTCAATATGTCGGGCTCTGAGTCGTCATTTGGTAAAAAAATGAAGTTGTTAATAAATTCAACCCATCTGAATGAAAGGAGATTGGGAATACGTCACAAAAGAGAGGCGAAAGATACAAAAGGGACATTCAAAATCACAAGTCGAAAATAAACTGACAACATCATAGCTAAAAAAGAAAAGACCAACAGACAAACAGCAGTACACTAAACACAACATAGAAAACTAAAGACTGAGCAACACGAACCCCACCAAAAACTAGGGGTGATATCGGGTGCTCCGGAAGGGTAAGCAGATCCTGCTCCACATGTGGGAACCGTCGTGTTGCTCATGTTAGTACAAACCCGGAAAATAAGTTTAATTCGGTAAGTCACATTCGGGGAAAAGGGGACGGGATTGTAGTTACGACAGTTGGGACATTTCCGCTATCATCTGTGAAACGGATATTCCAAAACGGTCAACCAACTCGTGATGGTGTCCGTAAAATTTACAAAGGGATGATTTCAACTTCATCACTTGGAACTCTTGGTTTAACAGCTTCCTTGTGAGGAGAAACCCTCTATCAAGGAAATCATGATAGGAAATACAGTCACAATTAACCAAATACATCTTATAAATATCTGCCATCAACACCCAATTCTCAAAACAGAAATTTTACGATTTGACAAAAGACTACGGACGCGGTCATGACTTGAGACACATGTAATAGATATAGACCCATAATAGATATTGAAATGATACGACCTTTATTTTTGACCTACTCTGTATGTATTTTCAACTTTCCGATGTAATGACCTCCATGTAGAATGCGGAAGTTCTATTTCATTCATTTTGTAATTTGCGACTTTAAAACATTTATTGTAAAGAATAATGATTGTCAAAATTACTAAATAACCGGATGTTGTTCACCTGTACAACTTACCTGAACCATCTTTGCTTCCTATATATTGATCTCCATCGTAATGATCCTTTGATCGTAGCAACGAATAAATAAACAATCACATGCACATATTGTCAACTGTAATTGACATAATTAATAAAAACCATGACATCATCCCGTCATGAAGGTTTGTATGGAGAGAATTTAAAGATCAAATTTCTTCACGGGTGAATTGTGGCATTAAAGGGTTTTTATTCAATTTTGAAATATTTAAACACAGAGGCACGTTTTGGGGAGTTTTGTCCAATATATAAAACTGTCTATATATAGATATCGTTCACTCCCCCCTCCCCCCACACTATTTGAAAACACCATAAGATATGAACATGTTGAATGATTAATTACACAAATAGTGTACGACATATATGTTGATGGTTTATATTGTTCGTTGAACTGTGCGGTATTTTTTGCGATTCCCGTTATACATTTTATGTATGACTGTCCAAGTCTGCAACCTTGTCAGTTACTTTCGTATGTCATTTCTTAATGTTTTTCGCTATTTGGAGGATTGAGTTTTATTAGTAAATATTCGATTGTTTCTGTTTATTCACATCTTTTAACCCCAAGGATGACTGGGGAATAGAAATATGGTCACTATTGGTCTTTCTCCGACCGGCAGCAAAACCCTTGCAAAGTGGGGACGTCCGGGTTAGAATTGGGACGTTAAATCATATGCCTCTTGTAGAGAGAGAGAGTGCCACGCTCTCTCCACGTTAAGAACCCTTACAACAACTCTTTAAAAGGTCCGTATGTGACCTGTTACAAGGCAAACTTTCTATCCCTATCCAATATACCCTCATTTTCCAGTGGCAGTCCAAATTTCCCGACCTTCATCCCGGACGGCCCATATTACAGGACCTACCTATTGTATTTATTGTTAATTTGTTCTCGTCCTGAACATGCATGAAATATTTGACACTGGACCGACGTTAAGCAACGAACAATCAATTAATCAATCACAACTTTTATAGACTCGGAAAGATTTAGAGTTAGTCATAGTGTGCAAATACCTGCATGTCTATTGTTGAAGAAGGTATGTTTGCCATTTTGGTGAGTTTTTGTTATTTGTGTCGTTAGGTTGCTGTCTAACTCACGTATACCAAACATCTATTTTTTTTCGTCTGTCTGCTGTCAATTAAACAATTTTTATGTCTAGTCATTATACCATACCTACTTGTCAATTATACTATGATTGGGATACTGGTCTATTTGTAGTCAATAATACCATACTTGGTACTGGTCTATTTGTTGTCAGTTATACCATACTTGGAACTCGTCTATTTGTAGTCGATAATACCATACTTGGTACTGGTCTATTTGTAGTCAATTATACCATTCTAGGTGCTCGTCTATTTGTCAATTGAAAAATACTAGGCACTGGTCCAATAGTTATCAATTACACGGGTAGTAAGGTTGTCATATCGAGGAGCGTTTAGTACAGTGATTTTGTCATAGTTTGGTTAAGTTGGTCATGGATAAGTTATGTTACTTCCCAAAACGATTGCCTCAGTTCTTTTCAAATGAGCAAATACAAAGCAAATTACATGTTTGAATCTATATTGTAAGTCAAACGATCTTAATTGAAATTGTTGTTTTTTAGAAATTTACGCAGGATAACCAAAATATCGAAATTGGTATGGTTTGGTTAAGCGATTGACATGGTTCAGTTAAGAGTCTAGAAATTCGTCATGGTTTTGATTACATTTGTCATGGTTTAGATCCAAATAAATACATATTTGTGGCACCTTAATATTGATAGTTTGTTTGAAGTCGATTGTGAAAAATTAAAGTAATACAAATAACTAATTGACTACAGAGAAAAAAAAGCCTTTTGACAAAATTTGGTGGGCGTAAACGGCAAATGGTACATTGATATATTTTTGAACCCGCGTAACGCATTGCGAGGTCAATTGAAATATCGGGCGTTTGTCTTTCCGTCTGTCCGTACGTCTGAGCGTTCGTACGTCCGGTCTCTCGTGTACAATTCTTGCCAGACTTTTTTATGAAACGTATATCCTACGTTTTTTTAGCAATAACTTGGGCTAGTTCGAAATTCAGTGCTGATCATTTATTTTAAAAGAGTTATGGCCCTTGGATACATTAGTTATATTAAAAATTGCATTGTTAGCACTCTCATATGTACAATTCTTGCAAGAGTTTTATGAAACTTACATCGGAGGTTTATATTAGCTATGTCTTGGACGAGTTCAAAAATAAAAGCCGATCAATTAATTTTAGAAGAGTTATGCCCTTGAAAATATAATTATATAGAGGACTGCATTGTAAGCGCTCTCATATATTCAATTCATGCCCGAATTTATGAAACTTAAATCATAGGTTGATATGTTTAAGACTGATTTGAAAATTAATACCGATCAATTATTTTAAAACGAGTTATGCCCCTTGGGAATAGTAATTATTTGGAGAATTGTCATATGAGCGCTCTAAGTACACCTATTGTTCGATTTTTATCATCAATGTACTTGAAGAGTTCAAAAATCTGTACCGATCAATAAAGAGTTATGCACTTGAAAATATTGATTATATAAAAAAAAATACAATGTTATCGCTCTTGTGTGTTAAATTCTTGTCATAATTTTATGAATCTTATATCGATTACGAAGGTTTATATCAGCAATGTATTTGCACTTTCGAAAATAAATTCTGATCAAATATTGTTAATGAGTTATGTCCCTTGAAAATATAAATTATAATGGAATTCACATTTCTGTAAAGATATTATCAAAAATAAAAGAACAGAACGGACTTTTGTTAAGTTATTGCCCTTGTACCTTAAATAAATAAGATATGTGCAACCGGGAGGAAATTAGAACTCTGTTCTTTTGTTCTTTTTGGTGTGTTCCTAACATATAGATATGATATATATAACCACTGCTTTTATCAACTGGCTTTCGATATAAAAAATTACCAAATCCGAAAGCGTTGATTCTGTTTCACCTAGACTCTTTTCTCCATATGACCATGATGGACTGTGCCGGGGATAATTATCGTGAGAATTGATTAATGACGTCTACTTAAAGTTGAAAATAATCTTTGTTTTACATATTTTTTGTACCAAATTATACATCGATTGTTTAAATTTGAAATAGATTATGTCTACGATTAATAAAAGAAGGTTTTTTTTGGGGGGGGGGGGGGGGGGGTTGTTATCCGTCGATGATACAGTAACCTTTATATATACTATAAAATTAAACTAACGATATCGAGAGGACACCATATAGTCTTCAAACCTCCATGGAACAAAATGTGTTAACATAGACAACAGTTTAAACTTATTTATTTAGTGAAATCAGTATGAAAATAACTTTCAAAGTGTCGAATTTAAATATATGAAAGATAACAATTTCGAATAAGAGATAGGTCCATAATGTATGTCATAAAGTTCCGATAATAACAGAAAATAATAGTATGCAAAAATGTACAATATTAAATGTGATCGAAAAACATAATTGAAAAATTCCAAGATACACGTATTATTGTGCTAAGTACAAGTACATTTAAACTGTGCATGGCCTCATTTTTAACCCCACAAGACGAGAAATCGAAGACAATAAGATGAATATTGGTAGCAGTATTCCATTCTGAAATAAAAAAAAAAAACTTTTTGTTTTAGATTTATGATTTTTTATTAGTTGTTTTTGGCTTGGAATATACTAACAGATCAGTTCTTTCTTCGGTGTTTTTGTTACTTGATTACTTTGCTTTGTATCGATCTGATTGTATAGTTTGTTTTGCTGTTACATGTATGCCCAGGTTAAGACAAGGGGGTGGTTGGGAGCCCGCAATAATTTAAACCACGCCATATTCTGTCTGACATTGTAGAAAGTCCACAGTCTGTAATTCAGTGGTTGTCGTTTGTTCCTGTATGTCATAATTGTTTTTTTTTTGCTTATTGTTTTGAACCTAAGTCAGGCTGTTAGTTTTCTTATTTGAATTGTTTTACCTTTAATTTTGTGGGAACCTTTAATTACTTGATAAGAGGTATGAGTTTTGTTAATTGTCGAAGGCCGTACGATGACCTAACATTTACGTCATTTGGTGAAGGGTGGATAGTTGTCTCATTGGAAGTCATACTGCATTTACTAATTGTATATTACCATGTGCTTTCTTAGGTCATATCTAGGACTATTATAGTATAATAGTGAAACCTGCTCAAAAGACCACCTGTATTAAGCAATCACCTCTGTTAAGAGACCACTATTCATAGATCCCCTAGTAGTGCATTTCATTTAAATTGAACCTGTATTAAAAGACCACCTGTGTTATGAGACCACTTATTTGCTCTCCCTTAGGTGGTCTCTTAATACAGGTTTCACTGTACTTTTAAAGAAAATTGCTATAATTAAAATGCATTTATATATTCTCTAATGATCTCTGTATACGTGCTTGTTGTATATTTATGATAACTATAATGATAATATCTAAAAATTTGTAGCGACTTATTTTCTCGAGCGATATTTTTTTGCGAGTTGAATTATAATGATCTGCACGCAGAAGTTGCCGAGCGTAGCGAGGCAAAAAAAATCGCCGAGCGGAGCGAGGCGAAAAAACATTTTGGCCCTTTTATTTACAGAAAACGAATCTTTTTTCGATCTAAAATGGTTAATTTTGAAGTGAAGTATGCACAGTTGAGTGTTTTGCTATACTAGTATATCAAATCAAAGACCTAAAACTGACTAAAAAATTCTAAAAACTTTGCAATGCTCGCCAATTTATTATGCTTCAAAGAAAGAAAGGGCTAGAGAACTGGATCCTCTCATGACATATATGTTAACATACGAAAACAAAGCAATTCAAACAATCAATGTTTAATTTGGTGATATATGAATGTGACGTTCGTATGTAAGACCGCATGTAAGACTGTTAACAACCGAGGTCCTTTAGGAGAGTAACATTTTCATTTGCCTAGCATTGTTTAACGTGTCAATAACTTCTTTGGTGTCAATGTCAAAATCAGAATGAACGTGCAGCAGTGCAAGTGAAGAAAGTCTTTCTTGTCCCATGGTCGATCTCAGATACGTTTTTACGCGTTTCAGAGCGCTGAAAGAGCGTTCAGCAGTAGAGGTTGAGGGTGGCATGGTGAGAAGTATTTACAGAATACAGAATATATTTGGGCAAAGTTCTTTCGGCGTCATCTTCAATGTTGCACAGAGATGG